GTTTAGTGTGAAGGGCTTGATAAAGAAAGTCAGCCAATTATAAAAGAGTTTTGCTTTTATTTTCATTTATTTATTTTTTGTGTGTTTTGTGAAACTGGGGTGTCAGAATAAGTTTTAAAGTTCAGCTCATTTAATTTTGACTCCTTGTTTAAACAGTTGCAAGGGAAAGGGCGGGTGGGAAAAGCAGGTGAAAGTAGGAGTAAGTGGGATATAGGAGAGCAAGGAAGAATGAGACAATGGTTTGGAAAAGATAAAGGCGATGAGAGCGAAGACGTCTCAGCAGTCGTGCGTGGAGCCAATGCCGACGTCTCTTTGTATGCAGCCTAGCGTGTCGGAAAAAGCACGCAAACTGCCACACAGCAGACTCTAACAGCTTAGGCCCTAATGTCACAGGCTTTGGTCAAACATGTTGAGGTTCATCTAGATAATCTGTCATTTTAACATGGCAGATTTAATCTGAAATCTTTATTTCAGGCAATGTTAAAGGCTAATTGCCAATTTATTTATTCCATTTTGATGCTATCAAAGGTTTTAAGCAAAATGCTGTTTTTGTCTGACATCAGTAAAATAGTCTAATTTATATAAACTAACACTGATTAGACACAGATTAGGTTCTTTGACATTTGAATCTGTAAAAATGTTCGATTATCCCAATTTCTTCATTCATGATACTCTAACTGCAAATATACATTTATTTTCTACTTTGCTTTCTAGTATGAAACAAATGGAATTTAGGCTCGGTATAATTTGCATCTTTCTTCTTCTTTAATGGCTCCAAGAACCTTTACTGTTGACAAAACTGCCACAAGCAAAGGAGTGATTAGTGAAGAAAAGACAGTCGTTCAAATACGTCTACTTTTCTAACTGAAAGGCAGGGGGAGGGTTGATTATAGTTTCTGTTTGGACTGCAGCCTGCAGCGTTAAAACATTTCACTTCTTCAGGGGAGAAAGGCTTTAATAAAGTGTCAGTGAGTTGTTACAGCAAACATAATGCTATCTATAATGAAGTTGATGCTACTTGGCTTGCCTTCAGTGACACTCAGAAGCAAACCCTGGTTTCTACACTTTATAAGATAAACACCAACTTCAGATAACAGGTGAAGAGATGAGCTATTTAAACACATGGAAACTGAATCAGAGTGGTTCAAAGGAGATTATTTCAAGAATTTATTATAAAAAGGTTCCCTATAAGCAAGTGTTCATTTCCTTTCAAATATCTGAAGTGGAAACATGGATTTTGGAGATCTAAAATCTTTCCTGTTGTTAAAGATAAAAACTAGAAAACCTTAAAGAAATGTTAGCTAATGGGCTTTAACTACTATCAGCAAAACCAGCCAATGACTCAGTACTTCATTGGATTTGATGTATCCAAGTACTGGTTAAGATTTGCTAAGGTCCAAACAGGCAAAAGTAAAAAAAAATGTGCATTATCTTGATGTATAATTTAACTAAACTCTTGAGCTAAATAAGGTTAACGTTATTAAGTACACTGGTTAATTTTATAATAAATTATCAATCAGCCAATCACATAGCAGCCTGTGTATGTTTCTGGAAGTTCATAGTGAACATCAAGTTGTGGGGGGTAAGGGGCTTTTAATGTGGCAGGTTTGTTAGCGGTATAAGGGCTAAGTTAGGTGTATTAAGGGCTGCAACTAACGATTATTTTGCAAATCGATTAATCTGTCGATTATTTTTCTGATTAATAATCAGATTGCAAAAGGTTCTTTAAAGAAGACCTTTTGCAAAATTAAACCAGGTCAAACTAAAACTTTTCCACTTGAGGAGTTCTACATAGAGCATATGAACAGAAGAAGAAAGATCTGAAATGCAAAATGTTTACATATTTTCTTTACCATTTTGATATAATTACTGTTCTAAGTGGGTTTTTCTGTCAGCTAAAGGCATCTTTTAGACTCTCTATACTCCAGTTAACCATTAATCATTTACTAAATTAGTTGACGATTATTTCAATAATTAATGAATCACGATTAATCCGATTAACTGTTACAGCTATAGATGTATCAGAATGAAATTATTAATAAAGAAGCAATTTTGTTATTTCAGTGCCAGGTAGACTACTTTCATGATGATGGAAAGTTGACTTTCGCTCCTAGCAGGGTTGTTTGGACTTGCACACCAACCTTAAACTGTTTAAATATCTTTAAGATTATTTGACCCTCAAGGATTAAACCATAGTTTGATGAGCTGAATGGAACAGAAGTGCCTGTTGCTTATTTTCCAGAATTAACTTTGGGTTGGAAATTTCCACGCTGTTCTCAGATGTTTAACGGGTCCAACTTAACGAACAATAAAAGCGTTATATTGGAGATGGATTTTTGTGGATACTAAGATGTAGCTGGCATGCAGCTCAACACAGACACCAATGACAACTTTACCTAAGGTTGAAAATGTAAAAAATAAATAGATGTTGATTATTTAGGACGGTTGGAAATTAAACACAAAACCCATTTAATAGCACACCTGAAAGAATATACTAAAGGAGGGGTCACCAACACGGTGCCCTCAAGGACTACATGGGGGGCCCTCAGAGTCTTCTAAATAAAGAACAACCCACCAGTGGGCTAAGTTTGAAATTTTATTTTATTCTGTTGCTCTTCTTTTTAATAATTGATAGAGATTTTAAAATGACAATGTCTAAAGAAACTTAGAAATTAACAGAAACAATAAAAATATGTTAATAATGAACAAAGTTTAGGCTAACGCTAACCCTTGCAGCTCATGGGTCAGTAATGGTTGCCCTTCCTACGTCTCGGTACCCTTGAAGTTGCCCTCAGCCTTAAAAAGGTTGGTGACCCCTGTACTAAAGAGATAAGACAATTTCTTTTTGACTCTTATATAAATAAACAACACATTTTAACAGACAGAATAAAGATTAACCCCCCATGTCTTTTGTTTATGAACTTAGGAATAATGATGGCATATCACTTGGAAAAATGCCTGTCCTTTCTCTTTCTTTTTCAGTGTGTAGAGCATTTGTTTCAAGGAGTGTATTTATTTGTTTTGTTTTTTTCAGGGTGTGCCTACGTGCGTGAGTGTGGGCACATCGAGGTGTAACCGCACCAAATCCCCTCAGGTGTCAGCCAAACACAAAAAAACCCCACTTCTCATTTGAAAAATCTGAAAGCAGTATGCAATAAAAATTAAAAGAGGTAGGCTTTCCAGAAGCTTGCAGGAGAAATGGTACCACAGGTTGCAGGAAGTGAGCGATGTACCTGTATAGCCCTTGTGAAATAAACAAAACTGGTCTTGATATGCATCATGTGTTTCCTTTTAATATGACCCGCATATCAGTTTATGACAAACCAGTTATGATTTGAGTTTATTGGTGAATAAATAAAAACCTTTTCACAATTTTTGAGTTTGCAATGCCTTGCAAAAATACTTACACTTCACATTTTACCCTGTTACAATAAACATCAACCCTTGTTGAGCCCAATTTACTCATCCCAGTTTGAAATCAAACTGAATGTGATTGAAGCTCTGGCTTTATGCTCGGTATCAGTGTTATATTTGAAAACTTTATATTTTGCTTCCAGGATTACTGTGTATGTAGCTCCATACAAGCTCATCAGTTCTTACCAGTTTCTTTGTAATGGAGTTCTCGTTCCTCATCCACTTGGGTCTGATATGTGGCAGGAATGATCAGTGACGTTCGTAACTCTACTTTCCACAGCTTCCTCTCTGACCTGTAGGCAGTGTTCCTTGGTTTTTAAGATGCTGTTTGTTGACTTATTTTCTCTGTCAAACCTGCGAAGTCTTCACAGAGCAGCTGCAGCTGTACAGTGGATGGGTTATCAGAACAATGTGGACTTAACTCTAATGCAGGCCTTGTTTTTTTTTTTTAAGATTTTTTTTTTTGTCTCCCAAAAAATTGCAAACCATTATCCCCATTATATTGCTCTCCTTTGTATTGATCTATTACATAAAATCCCAAAGGATTCATCAAAGTTTGTTTGCAATGTGACAAAACGTTATAAAGATAGAAACACTCTTTTATTAACATTGTTCCAAAAAGTGACATGTTGTTTTTTTTCAATATTTCATTAGATCAACCAAAAAAAAAGAAACTCTAAATCATGTCATAGATTCTGCATCACACTTTTAACACCAAACCAAAAATACTGCATTTTTGCACCCTATAGATTAATGCATTGAACTTCCATATCAATGCATTTCTTAACCGTGTTTTATCTCCAACACTGTTTGCATTTGATCACTGCTGCAATTTATAGAATGGAAATTTTACTTTACTGTCTGAAAAGCTGTACTAAATGAAATTTCATGTTGTATAAACTTTGTGTATACAGAAAATGGCAATAAAAGTTGTCTAAGTCTAAGTTGTCTTAGTCTAAGTCGTCTGCAATAAAGCATTAACATGTCTGTAACTACATAAACTTATCATGCTATTTCTGTAATGAAACTAATTCAATGATGGTTTCATTTTACACTAAATTACAACTATAATCTGTTTTCTCCTTAACTATGTCTGGATGTTTTTTTGAGTGTTTTTTTTTTTGTTTTTTGTTTTAGAAAGAAATTAATAAAATAAAACAAAATTTTACTTAAAAAGTATAAAGTTCCACTAATATATCTTATATTTTTCTCTTTCTTTTTAAACAAATCCCAGTTTTTCTCCAATTACCCAAAAGCTGAAGAAACCAAAACTTGCACATTACAAAGAGGCAGAAGTTAACAATGATACTGAAAAACTATTGAAATGTTAAATGCCTTCTCTCAGCCATTCTGAAGCCTTTTACACCAGTGAGATCCCCAATCTCACTCTAATTTTCCAATACAGTTAATGAGATGCAAGGCCCTCCTGCCTAGGATTATTATGCAAAAAAGGTCTGGTAGCTGCACACACACTCATGCACTAGCATGCAGGCCCCCCCTCCACCTGTCCTATGAGGCACCTGTTGTGGAACTCTCAGCCAATCAGATGAAAGAAGCAAACTGTGTTCTGGCATGAAATAAATCTGGGCCTTGTTCAGAGGGAATCACTTCAACTGACTCATCTGTGATTGTGATCTTCTCTGCTAGACAGACAAGGAAAGAAGAGCTCGTACATTTATACAAGGACAACCTAAAGGAGCCTGTTCAGATTAATTGGTAGAGGAGAGATGACCAAAGAGACTGAGTAAGTTGTGTTTTTTTTTCTGTTTTGCCATTTTTTACTATGAGTTTCCCTAAAAATTTTAAAATGTTTAAAGCTTTTCTTGTAAGTTGATTCAGACTTGGTGCAGCACTGTAAATGACAAATGTATGATTCCTTTCTGGAATATACACTCACACCCAGATTTTTTTTTGTCTTGTTGTTGCAATGGGACCCCCATGTGAAAATCTCTGCCTTATAACAGGGATTTCTACAGGGAAAAGTGATATGTACGGTTGTATTAAACCCACACTTTTAGATCCGGGCTGCAGAGGGTCTGTTTCAGTTAGTGTTATAGCTAACCTAGGGGCCACAGAGCACAAAAGGATGGTGGGAAATGAGAATCTCCCCTGAAAGTGTTGGAGCACATTGACAGCATGCGGTGCATTGAGTTACATGATGGTGAAACTTTAGACAAGAGCCCAGCTTATCTTTGGGTAAAATCAAGTCCTGCTTTCTGGATGAAATGCTGCAAAATTCAATGTTTTTGATTGTTTTATTTAAAAAAAAAATCAATTTACTCATGATGAATCAAAGTTGCAAGTGTGGCTGTTGGGTGCAGGTGCATCTCTGAGCAGGTGTAGGAGTTTTTTACACAAGATTTGGCGGAATTCCCTCGTGTATTTTTATATCTAGCAACCTGAAACACATTTTTGTAGCTTAAGATTTAATTTGGTGTGCCAACATTTCCCAGTTTTTAAAACTAGTGAGAAATAATAGAATTTCCTTCTGCACTATGATTCAGATCTGGCTGTGAATAGCTGTGGTCTCGTGTCTGTCAGCACATTTTATTAGCTGTTTATTCAGGTTAAATGGCTGCTGTTTGTTCATTAGTAGCTTCAGACTCACACTAAAGGGGGGGGGGGGGGGGGGATGCTTATCCTGGCAGGCTGCATGTTTACAATCCAATGTCACTGTGAGTCTTTCCAAACAAATCATATCCCCACAATCCTAGCCTGTAGTTATTTTACAACTGATATAGAAAAGCCAGGCTTGCCTTAGCGGGAGATGCTGGTTTCTGTTTGCCGAACAAAAGCAGAGAATGAATTGGGCTGTATCTGAGGTTTGTGCAAATAAAGAGGTTTATGTAGGATTTAAGCATGTTGTCTCTACTCTGTTCACGCTTAAAACCACAAAACACTACACCTCCGTACGTGCGTGCATGTTTATGCATTGTCAAACCCTTTTGATGCTGTTGCTCCTGAGGCCTTCTCACCTTTGCAGTTTTGCAATCGAAACCCTCCATGCTACAGGGCAAGTATGTACAGTGCCCTAGGGCTCAGGGACCGCTGCAGCTACTCTCAGCTCACTTCAGCCCTGTCTGACTCTGTTTTGCTCTTTCCTCAAATAAATCAGTCTAAACTTTTTGATTCTTGCTGCAGGACTCTGGGACTGGTCTTTCAGAGCGAGAACTTCAGCTATAATCATTACGCGAACTCCATCATGGACTCTTGGCCCTACCTGGACACCCCGAACACTGATCCAAACCACTCAAAACTCAGACTCAACCCTGGAGAAACCATGACTGCAATAACCATGCTTCAGGAGCAGTGCAGGGTAAGGCATTTACAGTTTATGCTAATGTTTAACCAGTTTTTTTTTTATTTTCATGTATTTATTAAATCTTTAAAATTAATTATTTTTCAGAACCAGAAGGAGCAGAAAATTGGTGTTTTCAACCGAAGCCTCTGCAAGCCTACAGAGAGGTAAATTGACTAGTTTTCCAGAATTCATAATTTCCTCTAAATTACTGGATGTTATAAACAAAAGTCTAAAAGATAAAAATATAAAGAGTGAAAAAAACAAAAAACTCCTAAACTGATGTTCCTGATGCCAGGATCGGAAATGTAGTCCCTAGATTAATTCTTTTCCACTGTATAACTTTTATGTCGGCCATAATTAATGAAGAAAGAGTGCATGAACTAGTAGCCAAACAGAGGGAGAAGGATTATTGCTTCCATTTACCGATCCTTTCTCCATCATCATCTTCCTGTCTGAGAGTTTCACAACAGGTGGTTGTTGTTCCTTATTCCTCCTGAGGAGGCTGAGCAAAGGCCACTGCTGAGGCGCAGCATTGTCCCCTCAAACATTCTCAGAGGAGAAAAGCAAACACGGCGACGAGGAAAGAAGGCCAGGATTAGGAAACAAATAGTTCCCACCCAGACTCGAAGCCTGCTGTTCTACAGGCAGCTGTTGGTTGCACAGTTGATTTTAACTCACTGCTGTATGCATGCGTTGCCACATTTAATGGTGATGTTTGACATGGGAGATACGGCACTCTACCCAGGGCATTATGTTTACAGGGGATGGGAAAAAAGTCTGTCAGTTGCTCTCTAAAACATTTCTTCATGGATTTCTGTTTGTCCATTTAGGTGAAAGTGGACAAGCAAAGTAAAAAAAAAAAAGATATAGGTGGCTATTAGCTCTGAGTTTATATTGCATCAATTTAAAAGTCTCTTTAACTGCATATAATCAGGAACTAAATAGTTGTTCAATTTTGAAATATAGATATAGATTCAAGATTGACCAAACTACAATATAAACATTTTAATATATCTTTATTTTAATGTTTTAAAATTAGTTTTACCTTTTGTATTAAAGTGTGAAAATATTAAGTTTAGACTTAAAGTAAAGACTATCATTGGATTATCTGTTAAACCTTTGCATCTTTCTAACCCGACAGGACTCTTGGCAATGCCAGTGACCCTGTCATGAAGATCCTCTCCGATCTTGTTCCCACCTCCCATCCTCAGGAGATTATGGGACTGAAGCAGATCTCCTCCCTGCCCGTTTCTGCTCCCAGCTCCTCAGACACATACGTCACCCTAAGCAGTGTTGTTGGCGACACGTATGAAAAGCAGGAGCTCAGCAACATCTTGGACCTGATGCAGAAGTGGCCGGAAACAAATCCGTTCTCTGACCATGGCATGGAGGTAAACTCACTATTATACAATGAAAGTTAGGCTATCAGTATTGTAAAAACAGGCACCTTAATTAAAAACCTATTCCTGTCATTTAGAATCTTCCCTGTAGTGATCAGTTTCCTGAAAGCCACCCCAGCCCCGTCTACTCCGGCTCATACGCCAGCTCCTCTCCTGAGAGGCACAGGAATGACTTCCAGTTTATCCTCGGATCTCCTGCCGCATCATCTCACAAGTCCAACGAGCTGCCGATGGTGTACCTGAACAAAAGCCAGTTCTACCCAATCACTCTGCAGGGAGTTCACAGCAGTGCCTGCCTTACAGCCACCAAAGTCAAGGTGAGTCACAATATTAAAAAGTATCCCCAAAGTTTTGTCAGGCTTTACGTAAAGAGATTAGGACCCATTGTTGTGCCTTTTCCCTAAGGGCTTTTATGGTTTTTGTTTGTGGAGCAAATATTTTTTTAACTTCTGTGTCACCATGCCAGCCCTTCCCAAATGTTTGTCCCTCCCTGGCAGTCAGCTCCGTCAGTGACTAATGCCCTGCTGACAGCCCGCGGACAGGGCTTGTGTCGTACAATTTGTTTCTATGGCAGTTAAATGGGGCTAGAGTGGAGGACAGCTCAGCATGGTTGTTTTAATAAAAAGACAGAACAAGGAGGGGAAAAGGTGTGGTGTTCTCACTGCTCTTTTCTTTGTCAATAAAATTAGAAGGATTTCCTTCTTTGAAAGAAACATTGTTCTACAGAAAAATGGAGAGGGGATTTGAAATATTTTGATTACTCTCTGGCAGACCAATGAACCTGCCGTTGATCTTTTCTGTTCCATGTTTTCTCTCCTCCTCAGACGGTGGTGATGGCTGTGTTTGAGAATGACAAAACCCCTGAAATGCAGCTCCGCTTCTGGAATCACTGGCATGCACGCCAGCCAACTGTCAAGCAGAGAGTTATTGACATCGGTAGGTTTTACACACAGCAAAGTATGCGTGCATCATCTGTGTGCATTCTCCTGTCATCAGTAAACAGCAATAAAAAACCAAAAACAAAGCAAGATTTTTATGGGCTTTTGGTTCATCTCACTGGAAAGGAAAGGAATTATTCCTGTAGCTATAGTCTCACAGAGAAGAGATTTATCCTCTGAGTGGATAAATGCAGCAGTGGGCTGCCACTCTGAGCAGCAATTGGAGACCATTAAATGGTCTCCAATTGCTGCTCTGACCAAAAGGGACAGTCTGAGTTTTGATCTGACAGCATCTCTAAGAGGCAAACCCCCTGTTCTCTAATTACTTGGCCACCACTTCCAAAATTGTCAATTAGTTTGAAATTCCTTTGGACTAAATTTGAATTTACTTTCTTATTTAAAGTAAAAACAAAACAATACATAGCTGAGAGAAAAGACAAATTGGCCTCTGACCTATAGGAGGCACCATTTCCACTATCCAATGGCAGAATAAGGAATAATTGGGGTCCTTTTCCATTTTACCTTGCTGGTGGATTTACTTTCCATCTAAAAATTGATCAACCAAGTTTCAACCAAATTTTTTGTTTTAAGAAAAAATAAATACAAATTTGTATTTTCTGCTGTTTTCTGTCGTGAACATTTGATTGAACATACATCGATTTTTTAAAAATACTGCACTTTTTAGAATCAAAATGAAAAGTTTTAAGCCATTTTTTTCCATGAAAGTCTTAAGATATTTAAATCTATTTCATTTCACACAGCCGACTACAAAGAGGTGTTCAGTGGCATCAGCAATGTGGAGGAGGTCGCCTTCAATGCTTTCTCCTTCATTTGGAACCCCAGTGAGGAGGCAAAGGTAAATAAATACCCATGGATATTTGCATTGCGTTGATGCACAGATGGTTTCTCTGTCATTTGATGCATCTGCTGACATGTTAGAGCCCCAAAGCAAAGGAAACACTCACAATAAAAGAGAGAAGGAGTGGTTGAAGAGAAACAGCCGGAATCCCAAATATGCATTTCGTTTTCCACCCACACAAGATGAAAAACCTCAGCACCCACAGCTTTAGAGTACATCTTCATGTGGCCCTGAGGTGTTAGGTGGGGTCACCAACCCTGCTTCAATTGGGTACGAAGTGTGGGACCCGATAGTTTGACCAAACTAGAGATGCCCCCTGGAGCATTAGATGCAATACAAATTAATTTCTAAATGATATGAAAAAAATAATTAAGTATTTTAACATGTCTATCCCCTTTTCCCTCAGATTTACATTGGGATAAACTCCCTGAGCACAGACTTCTCCTCTCAGAAAGGGGTGAAAGGCCTGCCTCTCAACCTGCAGATTGACACCTACGACTTCAGCTCTGGAAGCAACCAGCTCATACACAGAGCTGCCTGTCAGGTCAAGATTTTCTGTGATAAGGTAATCCATTCACAATACGCTCAACAATTTTAACAAGCAATGTAAAACAGGTATTTGTGGATTTGTGCCATTTTCTAACCTTCTATATGTGTGTCTGCAGGGTGCAGAAAGGAAGATGCGTGATGAAGAGAAGAAGAGATCCAAGAGGAGGGGAAAGAACACCAATGATGCAAATGGTGAGTATCTTCGGTTTAAAAAGCACAGCTGGTATCATATCCTAGGAATTATAGTCTCACTCTGTTTATTTCATTGGTTTGTTTACAGCCAAGTCTCTTGTGAGTAGCTCCATTGGCTCTGAGTGCACCTTCTTCAAAACTTTGGACGACCTCGTCACTCCGCCAGTTCTCTTCATCCCAGACACACACCTCACCGGCTTACAGCGCATGGTAAGCCCCTCGTTAATAACCTCTTGCCTGCATGCAGAACCCTGCAGGTGATGGGATAGGCACGAGCAAAGCGGGAACAGACTGTGGGAAAGTATGTATAGGGGGAAGGTGGGGGCTGCTTGGGAACCGGGGGCGACGGGGGTTAGTAATGCCAGCGAAAGTGAAGTTAAACACAAGCCTCAGATCAGATCAGGCTAATTGGAGTCGAAACCAGGCACAAGTTCAAGCATCTACAGCTGAACATGTTGTGTGTGAGGCATGGGGGCTGGGTGTAAAGTACGCAGACACCCAGAGCAACATCTCCAGGTCAATCCGCAGCATGCCGCCCTCATCTTTTTTCAAGTGTGCTTCACTCAACAGAGTTACAACAGTGTGGTTAGAGAGCTGTTCAGACAGGCCAGCTTTCCCACAGTCGGGGTTTTACAGGGGCATGTGTTGGAGAGTTTATTTTGAAGTGAGTTACTATCAGGTCATGAGGAAACCAAATATGTTTTAAGTGTGACAGTTTTGGCTTGAGAATAATTTTAAGGGATTGTGATAGAAGTGAATTGCTGACTGAATAGTATGATTAGAGGTATAATGGTGCAACCTGCATCTCCTCATCAGTGTCCACGTCAGAGTGGATCTGCTAGAGGTCATGGGAAATAAACACTTTAAGCAATGATAGCATTCCTTCAGTTTTTTTAAAGAAGGACATTAGGTAATGTTTTATTATCAGTGGTGCTCCATCTAATCAGATCACTTCTCTCCTCTCCTCTTCATTGTCTCTCCAGGCCGCTCCTACGGACGACATTGAAAGGTAAGCATATGTAGAAACACCCTGAGAAGAGATTAGCCCATGAATGTCTGTCACCTTTACAACAGTTTGTTGTAGATGGTGCCTAATGTTGATGTTTGTTTTGTGCCGACAGGAGCTGTCTGAAGAGGTTGTATCCAGACAGAGACCAGAGCAATACTCCTCCCAGCAAACAGGCACGCAGAGAAGATCCACAAAGAGGTAAAACTTACTCAAAAAAAGTCTCATCGTAGGAAAAAAAAAAGACCCACCTTCATGATGTTTATGGAAAAAAGTAAAATACAATTTAATCTCTTTTAGAGAATCCCTAACAATTTCTCCTGCTGCTGCTGAATCAATAAAATGCATGAATATTTAAAGCTATGTCCTCTCTAATAGCTCATCGTTTTATATCGGTTCATAGATCATCAAGGATTTGTTACTCTTAAAACTCAAAACATGGAAAACAAAACTTAAAATGCATAAATAATTATTAAATAACGCTGTAATGGGATACTGTTCAATTTAAGAATCGAACATCTTTGAGATTTAATTCTGGAAGAAAAAGACTAATTCAGGGGAAATGTCCTGGAAAGTCTTGTCACCACCTTTTGTAATACCAGCTTTTTTTTTTTGATTTGTATTTAGAAATATAAAACTTAAACACCTGCCTAATTTGACACAAGTTGGTAGGTTATTTTTCTACACAATATATTGCACAGCTTCAAAAACATTGCCTTAACAAGAGTGATGGTTGGCCCTTTGGTTTTTCACAGAATAGCCCTTTGTATGTGTAATGATTGAAAGATATTTCCAAATATCTGTCTTTTGAGCGAAGAGAAAGTATGTTGACCTTCTATAATTGACTGATAACAGGAAGAAAGGCAATGCTCTAGTATTCTATGCTCCACACAGTTTAGTTTATTAATCTAGCTTTCACAAAATATAAATCTTAAAACATTTTGAAAGACAAATTAATCCAATTTATATTCATAAAGATATTTTCAGATTAGTGCAATAGAATCCAATCATATGGATGGCTATGCATTCAAACAGAATCCTTATTATAATCAAAATTAAAATCCTTTTATAATCAAATATTTTTCTTAATTTAATCCCCAATTTAAGGAAGCATTACAAACAGCTGTCTTCCTATCCAAGCATGTGGCAGCTATGGAAAGAAAATTACTTTCACACTCTTTATAAGTGAACAAGCAGTTACATTTGTGATTTAATCTAAAAGAAAAAAATAACAACACCTCAGTGGAACTAGAGAGAAAAAACAACGGAACTGTTCAGAAACTTTTTAAACTTTAGGATACTTTGGTACATGTAACTGGCCCATGCTTAACCTATATGGCATGGGAGCTGCCTTGGAGCTCGTCTGCCTGGCTGTGTGTTTCCTGGACGGGGCCGCCTTTTACAGCTGCTTTTTGTATCTCTGTTTCTGTCTCCTTGAACCCCAGTCGGCCTCAGCAGATGGCCGCTCACACTGAGCCTGGTTCTGCTGGAGGTTTCTTCCTGTTAAAAGGGAGTTTTTCCTCTCCACTGTCGCTACAAGCATGCTTAGTGTGGGGGATTGTATTTGAGTCAATGAGTCAATGCAATCAACTGGTTTTCCTTAGATAGAAAACTTTGTATCAATTTGACTGTATGATCTGGTTGAACTGTAAAGTGCCTTGAGATGACATGTGTTGTGAATTTGGCGCTATATAAATAAACTGAACTGAACTGAACTGAACTATATAAAATCTGACCAGTTTTTCTTTGGTGCTGAATATCTGCCTCTGTCCTCTGTTAGTTCTGCTGTATGTGAGGACCACTGCTGAGGAGGTGTTTGACGCGCTCATGCTAAGTTCACCGACGCTGTCAGGCCTTCGAGAAGCTGTAAGTACCAAAAAAATTTGTTTGTCATTCATCATTACACCTTTTATTTAATCTTCTCCTGCAGCTTTCACAAGTGTATCACTTTTCCCTCAGTGAGAGATCTTACTCGTATACTCATGCTCACCTTTCTCTCCTCAGATTTCTGAAAAGTACGGCTTGCAAAAAGACACCATTGGGAGAATCTGCAAAAAATGCAAAAGAGGGTGAGTTTCCGGCTCTTCGGGGATTTAAAGGAATTGGCATGAATGGGTTTAGTTTCTGACTGCAGTCACATCTTCTTTTAAGTTGGCCAAAGCTGATAGACAGGGTAGGTAGGTTTGGTTTGGCCTCGCACACTGGAATGTTTTAATTGTGGGTCCTCCACAAAAGACAGTGGATAAAAGACTTCACGCATACTGGGGATGAGTCATCATCAGTTTTTATTTTTTTTTAAAGTTATTTGTGGTTTTACAATCATATCTCTTTGGAACATCAGGAGGTTGCATTTGAAGTGATCCCTTATTTTGTTGAAGGCCTAAGGGCTTCCAGTTACAAGCCGAATGTCGCCCATCAGGTTAATCCAATGGGTTGTTTTCCTACATGACATCAGGGTTGATAGGAAGGCCTTCACTTGTGACCTGCTGAAAAGAGCTGGAACACTTGCGGGTGATTTTCCAGCCAAGCTAACGAGTTGGTTTACATTCCCCCTGTCGTTCCCTCCCTTTTTTTGTCGCTGCCTTCGATCAATGCAATCCCTGCAGGCAGAGTGCGTGAGCCGCAGGGTAGCTCAAGCATTAAAGTATTTAACACTTAAAGGTAGATGGATGGCTGATTTATTACCGAGAAATAACACCTGAGAGGTTGTTTTGCACGAAAAGCGCTTCATACAAGCTGGCTTATGTTTCAGCATAAAACAGCAGATCTTATCTCTTCTATGAAGATTAGCAAGTTATTAGATTTTTTTTGTTAACCAGAGGTAGAGGAATTAGTATTTCCCTGTAGTAATACTTTTTTTTCCCCCATTATTTTGTAGAATTCTGGTCAACATGGACGACAACATCATCGAACACTACAGCAACCAATCTGCCTTCCTCATTGAGACATCCGAGTTGGCAGCCAATCAGCTCCAAGTTACTCTGGTTGAAGTATAAAATCCCCTGAAGGATGGAGAAGCGCAGCTGTGATTTGAAGCCATCTTTAAAGCACTGCCTCAGCAAAGCATTGGACTGTTAAACACCAAGAACTGGGCCCAGACTGAATGAAGCCCTCCACAATGCCAGACCTCAATGATAATGTTGAATCATTTCTTGAATTTGCAAATCCCGGTCTGCCCAGTTCCTACGCTTTGTTTTTTTTTTTTTGTTAAATATTTTAATGTAAAACATTTATGACTTGTATGTACATAGATGTAAATATATTTTTTAATATTACAGTGTTTCATAAGCTTGGCACAGTTTTAAATTTCAATTTCTATCTTCTGAGCTCTAAATATCAATTTTCATATGCAACATTCTTCTTCTTTTTTTTTTCTTAAGCATTTTAAGACTGTGCCAATTTTGCTGCTTAGATTCTACTTATTTCTTCTGCATTTCCACAGCTGCATTTTTAGCCCCAATCCATATTTTCCAATTTTTTGTGGTCAGGTCAGATTCACTTAGTTTTCCCAACTGAAAAATACAGCAAACTTTAAGTCAGGTTGTAGTCACAGGCTAAAGTCAGACATTTCTGCAAAGAAAACCACACAAGTTTTAGTATTGGCATTTTTTTTTTAGCCCAAAGTTTGGACATTTCCCAAATATATGCTCACAGAAAGAGCCAAAACCCCTTTAACTTTCAGGCCAAAGAGGGAATTTTCAAGTTATGGATGTGTGTGTGTGTGTAAGGGGTAAAAATATTTCTCTTCTGTATGCATCATTTCAAAACAATCATGTATCCCTGCATTATTTCATTATGACATCGTGGCTAAACAGTCATATTTGATACAGATTTCCACTTTTCTAAAGAAAATAAAAAACAAAAAACAAAGTTTTGTCTCTGTTAATGAGTCACTCTACTTCAAAAGAATCCATTCATGTGTTCCCACCGATATGCCCTTTAAGGAACAAAGCCAGAGGTTTCAAAACATGCTTGTTTCATCTATTGGGCTTTTGAGGTGAAGTGCATATTGGAAATGATGAACCCACACATGAAAGCATAAAACCTCACTACAAGAGAGTGATCTGATTATTTTCTGCAAATTTGCATAATATTTTGCTGCAAGCCCCAAGTATCGGTAATAGATCTCTCCCACAATGCTTTGCAAAAGCAATACTCACACTATTGGGCTTTTATTTGACTGATAAACACAAAGTGGTGCATAATTGTGAAGTGGAAGGAAAATTCAATATATTTTTTTGTAAAACTAAAGCGTACCCCTGTGTTTTTCCATCCCAGTCATTACCAGAAGGAACAGCCTTTTCTAGGACTACAGCTGCTGTTTTTCTGGGATATTTTCTGATAACATCGTAGCCTGGTTTTTGTTCTTGGAAGTTGAATTAGACTAATCCGAAATTGTTTTATGAATGTCATTTTTACTATACTGCTGCAGATTCTCAGTAGGGTTTATGTGTGGTCTATGACTGGTCCTTTTTAAAACATTTTACCCTCTGTTTACAGTTCTCTTGCTGGAAAAATAAACCCGAAAATCTGGAAAAAATATTTGTAGCTTCGAATAGATGGGGTGTTTTCAAAGACATAAGCCGTGTTACTATCCCTTAACGTATGCAGGTCTTTGCACATAGGCTAAAATATCGACTGTCATGATGTGAAGGACAAACTGCAAAAGTAACTACTTGTCTCGTACTACACTGTCAACCAAACTGTTGATTTATACGACCAATCATTGTATTGAGTTGTTGGGGATTTGCTGTGCTCCTAATTTTTGGATGGTTTGTTAATCTCTCTTACATTTGTCTATCTTTGGTGTTACTTTGTCTTCTTGACTGGAATTCTCTGACAAACATCTAAGTAAATCACAGAACATCTATATTAGTGACAATAAATTACATAAAAGTGGACTCGATGACATGATTACTGAAGGTGGATGGTTTTGATATTATTTTTATCGGCATTAGAATGAGGAAGAGTAACATATGCATGCCACACTTTTCAGCTCTTACTAGGAGGTTCCAGGATACATATATTTGCAAGCCACTATTCATCAAATATGTACGTCTATATTTTTATTTTTCATTTGTTGGACCTGTTTCCAACCTTTTCACATCTGCATTCAGAGAAAGCCAAATCTCAGAGTAGGAGTCTCTTTTCTCTACATATAACATAGACCTTACTTCAGCTGGTGAAAGGGAGAGGGGTACAGAGAGAGAGAGCGAGAGGCAGGAGAGCAGTCAGACGGGGAAGGAGCAGGGAAAAGGGGGACAAATACACACACACAAGGACAGAATACATAACGGCTGGAAGAAAATAAGGAGCAGGAGGGAAACTCTACAGGCTTGGAGAGACCACAAAGAAGACACGATGGGGAAAACTAGAAGGTGGCTGCACCATCTGTTGCCAAAGGGAGAAGAATGTTAACGAATCAGACCAGAGCACCGGTGCAGCCTGCAGTCTGCGGTGAGATGCATGAAACCTCTCCTGAATGGTAAGTGACTGCATTTAGCTGATCATTGTTGCAAACTGCTCTATGCATGCTTGTTTCCAGACAAAGTGGGTAGATGGTTAAAATGCTATGGCTTACAATATGATTTTCATATCAGCACCAGTTTCTATGGAGATCTTTCTTTAAGACGTATGAACATTAAAACTAGAAAAGCATGGAAGCATGCAATGCTGCAGAATTTTTAGATCCGATATATTAACAGACCTAGAGCTTGACTTCGGAGACTGGTCTAAACACACTAGTTTAGAATAAAAAAATAACTAAAAAAGAAACTCCCAACTTAAAAAAGATAAAAGCAGCTCTTGTTGTGCCAGATTTATGAGGTTAACTCTATTCACAAAACATTCACAGAGTGGAGTGATGCAGGCAAATTACAGCTGTCAGATCCTCATGTCTGTCATCTTCTGTCTTTGCCACCATGTCAGCTCACTGAAGACTTACCTGCAAAACTGGAAAGAGTAAGGATGACACAAGGCTGCAGGTATGTATTTATGAAGCTATTTAGGGGATTGCTGGGAAAACAACAAATTTAATTACATAAAGAATAAAAAAATAATAATAATAAAATATGGGGCAAAAATAAATGTTTGCATTCTAGTTGTTAAATCATTTATAAAGAAAACCAGTGACAGCAGAAACACTGCAGTACTGAGATGCTACTTTAGGCTAAATTAATGTAAGAAACCAACCACTTTTATTATGAAACAATCAGAATTGTAACTATTTATTCATTTAAATTGGAATTAAAAATGTTTAATGATAATTGTCAACATAAAAAATGAACATTATCAGATGTTGGTTTTATTATCAGTCTTAGTGGGATAGTTATTAGGAATAATTTAAAAAAAAAAGAAATAAAAAAAAAAGGAGAGATACAAGATGTTGTTCCTGTAGGGTTGTGATGAAGAAGGTGTTTCTCTAAAATGATCATTTGGAGATAAAAAGTCCACCACAATTTGTAAATTAATATTAAGGACTAAAAACTACTATTTGATGATCAAAAATTAAATATCCAAATACTATATAAAATCTAAGATATCAAAAAAACTTTGACTGCCTCTTATGAATCTTAACAAAGGGGTTTATAAGACTTGGAACTCTGAGCTGCAATATAAAATGAAGAGGGAACGTTTTAGACAGACAAATACTGTTTAAAGGTATATTTTATGTGTCATCTTTTAGCTCCGGAATAAGCATGAACAGAATTTCAAGGAGCATCCTAATTTGGCCAAGTTTATTTCCCCTAGATTAATTGATGGGTGTTTGTGCCGGTTCAGTCACAGTCTGTCTGTAAGGTGAAAAGAAAACAGACACATCTTTAGCTGTGAATCATGCTCTATATAACAAAAATGAATGTTATACAAAGATACAGGTAGATATATTATTTCTATACTAAAGGGACATTTTGTGACAAAAAAGCCCTACTTTTCATACACTGAAAAAAGTAATGCAATCATTTTTAGCATTTATCTAATTCAATTCAATTCAGTTTATTTATATAGCGCCAATTCACAACACACGTCCTCTCAATGCTCTTTACAGTTCAACCAGATCATCCAGTCAAATTGATTCAAAGTTTTCTATCTAAGGAAAACCAGTTGATTGCATCACTCATGGAGTTGAATGCAATCCCTCACACTAAGCATGCTTGTAGCGAGGATGGTAATCATATTTAGTTACTTAACACAATTGTTTCATGTTAGCAGGGTAGGACATAAAACAATTGTGTTAAAGTAACTTAATAAGAGTAAGTAAATGCCAAAAGTGGTTGCATTATTTTTTTTTCAGTGTAAACATCTTTTATAAGATTGTATTTGAAGCTGTTTTTTTTTTTTTTCTTGAGTGTACAGCATGATCCTTCACAGCATGGCACCCTGCACAATCAGAATCAATGTCAGACCAGCAGCCCAGTGCAGCAAAAGAATAATGTAGTTTCATTCTAAAATAATTGAATTTAACACTCATGGCAGCATGCTTGCTTGTGACAGCTAAAAATACACTAAAGCTAGTTCTGCCAGTCTCTGATCCCTCATTACGTACTGTTTAATTAATAATAAAAATATTCAGAGAGCCGATTCATCCAGGCTCGGTATCCTCTGGTTGAGCTGTGGAGGGTATTTCCACTTCTTCAACAAGCAAATGTGTTTTAATGGAAAGTTTCAGGACTAGACTCTTGATGGCGTCTCCTGATAGATAAACACTGCAGCCTGGGCCAGATAAAAAAGTAACAAAACTGCATATTAGAGGAAGGAAATCTTTATGGAAAAAAGGATTCGATTTTTCTTTGCACCTTTTTTTATCGACAGAGAGATTATAATACTTTTCAACACTACCAGAACATTTTGTCCTGTCAGCTTATATTCCTTTTTATTCTCTCAGCTCTTAAGTTTGTTAAAGATCTAAACATTTAGATTCATATTAAATTCATAGTACTTTTAAAAAGTAACTTAAACATTTCCACATTTCCTCACCTTACAAACCTCATGCAACTATGCAACCCTGTTGGAAAATAACAAAGCACTTTGAAATGTCTAAATGTTATTTTATGACCTAAGTATGCTTTAGGCTTTCCCCCTACTTTGGAACATATTTAATTATCTGACTTCTGACAAAAGTTTGTGGTTATAAAGTGACAATAATTTTATTTCTCTGCAAAATATGTAACCGAAAGCCAAGACAGCTTATATTTGTCCCATATTTCATTACTGCTGCTGTTACACTGAACTGTTTCTAAAGAAGGCTGTATACTGTAGCCTTTGTAAGAACAAAAGAATAAATCCTAAACTGCATTTCCCTGATTAAACATTGGTAAACAGCTTTATTTTAAACTCAAAGCAATATTTTTCCTTGTCTATGTAGCCCACTTTACTGTAATATAATTCAAAAGAACATCTGCAGTTCACTGTTTAACGTTAACTAGAGGCATCAACACAGATCAAGTGTTTACCACAGCACTTTTATTACAAACGTGCCTCCTTCCTGTTACCCTGATGTCTCCGATAACAGCATCCGTTGGTCATAAAACTATACTGGCTGTGTCTGCAGTGTCTGGTTGTCCTGTCTGGAGGTTAAATCAAACTCATACCTGACATGACTACTAACCCACCAGATTTCCTCCAAGGTCACACCTCGGCTTTAGTCCCCAAACCTGTAGAAAACAGCTCCCTCCTGTGCAAGCATGCAAAAACATGACCAAGATGTGCTTGTGAGCACAAAGCCGAATAGAGAAGGATCCAGCAAGGTCGTCTCATTAATACAGCTCCACATACTCAGCTGTCACATTGAGGCTGGCCAGGTTATTGTATCCTAGCAACAGATTCAGGCATCGACCTTTTTTTTTTCAGTGCAAAACAGGAGCTGTGAAGCCAGTTGTCCTTTTGTTTATCTACCTGCTTGTTTGTGCCTCTCTTCAGACCTCTGTAGAGTCTCCATGTCTTATTTTCCGCTATCCTTCTCTAAAAGAATCTTTCTCTCCCACCCAGATACTTAGAATGGAGAGTCCTCAGCTAAATGACGGGTGAGCTTCCAGTAAGAGGTATGAGGCAAGCCTTTTCTTTCTAAACACTGTGCAGAGCGTGCTTACATTAGTTACAAGCTAGTTTATCTTTTAAAATTCAGCATTTTTGCAGGCCTCCAAGAACAACTTATAGTAGAAAACTGTTTGCACAAAAACAATTTATTTTCTTGTTCTGGCCTTAAAACATGCTAAGCGTTTCCTGTTTTACTCTTGTGGAAAGTCCAGATGATGATGTCATGGACTGTAATAGGTCATTTCACAACACTAGAGGTAATGGGAGGTAATGAAGTCATGTTTTTAATATACTGTTTCCTTGTGCGTTAGATCAAAAGAAAATCAAAACAATTCAGCCTAACTCTCAGGATAAAATATTTTTAACTTCATAACTAAGAGTAATCATTCTATACTATTCCAAGATGCCTAAAAGTGCCAATTTGATTGTTCAACCACTCTGGAAAATGTTTAAAATTTCTTAAATTAAGTGTATTTACCCTTAATTTGAGTAGGTAAATGAAATGATTTGCCAATAGAATGAGTATTTTACACTTAAAATAAGATAATTAGATAATATGCACTTGAAATAAGACAATGCAGTTGTGTTTTCTTTTTTTTTAGTGTAAATTGTCTTGTTCCATATGCAAGATATAAGCCATCCTGATTGTACATATGTCACCTCAAATCTCTGTGTTACTCCCTTGTATTTATTTATTTTTTCTTATGTTTATTTTTTTTATTTATATTTTTTTTATTTTTTTATTATTTTTATTCCTAATGCACCTTTTCCTCCTTTTTTTTCTTCCTTCTTTAATTACTATGCCAATATGTGACCAGTGAATTTCTCCGCTGTGAGATCAATAACGCTCATCTAATCTAATCTAATGTCTCTTTTACCTCCTCCTTCATCCAAGAACAAAGGCACTTATTTTAAGAAAAAATTACCTATCTAGATTTAATTTCTTTCCAGTGCATCATATTGTTCAGGAGGGAGCCTGAACAATATGTTCTGGACTCAAGTGACATTTTCCATAAAGCAGCCCAGACCATGGATAAAAAGTAAGTCAGAAAGGAAGAGGTTATTGCCCCAAACACTGACACACTATATTTTACAGATGTAATGATAAAGACCATGTTTTTGCAAACCTGTCATGAGATCTACTGAATTCAAGAAGAAAGGTTCAGCCATAATGCACAAGCATCTACATTTGGGAACAACTTTCGTATTGTAAAGTAAGGAAGTGGTAGCATCATGTCGTGGAGGGTTTTTACTGCATTAGGGTCCACATATTAGAGTGGATATGTGGACATTTTCCATATCCTGCTTTGAAGTTAAAGCTTGGCAGGACGGGGTCTTCAGGGTGGACACCGGCCCTGAGCTCCAGCTTCTGCCTTACTTGCTACAAGGTTCCCAATTCTCTCAACTTAATAAGCAGAAAACAAGATTCTGGGCAGGTCACCTGCTCATTTTAGAATTTATTTTTTTATTCCCACCTTAACTTTCAGGGTCTGTGCGGTTAAACTCTGTACAATGTTAATAGGCTGTTAAAGCAGCCTTCAGATCCTCAAACCAAGATCTATTCATCCTGAGGACGAGATAAAAAACTCCAGGAGATCGGTCTTTACTGTAGAGCAAGCATCCTCTGTTTCTACATCCTTTTAACCTGTTAATTCTCTTTTAATCACTCAAAATGCCTGAAATAGCATACAATAAATCATCTGCCATTCTTTGACTCTTAGGAGGGTCTGGCGTGCCATATAAACCTGTTGTACCTAGCCTTATTTAGTAGTATTGTATAAGGCTAAAATGGAAGCATTACATACACTGCAAAAAATTGAAATCTAAATAAGTACATTTTTCTTAAAACAAGTGTACTTTGTCTTGAATTGAGGAGGTAAATAGGACACTTTGCTGATGGAACAAGACAATTTGCATTTAAAATAAGAAAAAATATTTGCATATTTGTATTGTCTTATTTCAAGTACATATTATCTAATTATCTTAAGAATGAAAATACTCAATCCATTGGCAAATCATCTTATTTTTTAATTTTTTACTTTTTAATTTTTTACTTATTTCTAGATTTTTGTTTTTTGTTTCTGCAGTGTACGTCTGGTAGTCGGGATGTGGCATTTAAAAGGTTAATAGTCTGGATTCCTTTAAACAACAGCGATAGAAATCCTCATAAAAATAAAATTAAAAAAAACTTTATTCCATTTTCTAATAATGACCTTTATTACTAATTTTTTGTGTTTTTTTATGTTATATTTAATCTAATTAGGATTGTGTGTCGACTTTGCTGTTTTCATCTATAACAGGTGATGTTAAATACTGTTTACTTTGTATTAATTCATTATTTTGTGCGAACATGTTTTGTTTTATTTTAACATGTTGTAGTCATATTAAAAAGTTGAATATGCTTGTTTGCATTGATGGTAGACATTTTTAAGGCACAGGAGTTAATTATTGTACCTTCTGCCTTTCTGAACAATTATTCCTCATTTTTAGAATCCCATTTAGCCTGGGCTCCTCTGTTGTGTGGCACGCCCTTAGAAAGTTTTTGGTAATTAATTATGCAATGATTACAATGTAACGTTTTTAAAGATAGTATGAACTCTACAAGACGTTAAGTCTTACTCTAATGACCACCAACAGGTCAAATGGTCATTAGACTTTGTTGTATTTATTCTTATCTAAAGCTTCAGGGTTGCAATATTTTAATCTTCTGATTTGTGGGATCCATATTATTCATTTTTAACATAATGGATTTTTTTTTTTAATCCACATTGCAGTTTTATTTTAAAGCTATTGTTTTGGTATCCTGTTATCTTTTCCATCCTGCTAATTAATAGATACAAAAAAAAACGCTCCAAAAATTTAGGGCTTAAAATTTGCTAATTAAAATTTTAAGGATTTCACTATAACTGTAAGATGAAAATGTAAAATAATTTCCTTTTATACCTTTACTCTGACACAACTTCTGCTGTTATCATTTCAGATTGGATGTGATCATAAAGTTGTTCTGCATTTCTCATTTTTTCCATCGAAAAAAGTTAAAAGCTGCTTCTTCATGATAGATTTTCTCTTTGTCTCATTTCTTCTTTATTTATAGCCTGAATTTCCTTTCTCTGGGAAATAAAATTGATTTATTTTCCTTCCCTCCTGTGTCTGTCAGATCAAATCAGTTTGTAACTCCATTAAATCGACCGGGTCGACCGGTGCAGATGTCTAAAGTGATTTGCACCATTGTATAATGTTGATAGGGGCTTTTTGAGAACAATTGTTAATACAAAGTTCATATTGACCACTGCACAGCTGTTTTAATTGTCAAACTGAAATGCAACGTGACACAAACTGTCTTTTTTTTTTATGTTTGGGATGGCCCCACTCTGCAGCACCCTGAGATAAAACAGCACCACCCCAGAATTGAAGACTTTCTTGTTTGATTGAATGTGAAAAATACAGTTGATGTAATGTTTTTTTATGTGTATTTAAAAATCTTCTTCTAAATACATACATCATGACTGTATTGCTTTACTTTTTCAGAGTTAAACCACATGATTCTGCTGGAGCTGACCCAGGGAAGCTGCCTTCCTATTAACTTCCTGTGACAACCTGAACATCTGTGTTTTTTGTGAAATCTACTGTGAAAATTCTACAGTGTTTTAATCGGATTCTGTTTACACATTTCAAGATATTTTAGAAAATATCAGTTTTAGCACAAGCGATGCAAACCCCAGCCTCCATGGTGATGGGGATTGTCTTTGCACCTTTGGGACTTGTCCTGGTCTTTACCGCTGCCATCACCCCTCAGTGGCGGGAAGGACAGGCCCGTCTGAACATTGGAGGAACAGGGTCTGTTCTCCGATCAGGAGCAAAGGGTCAGGGCCTGGGTGTCAGGTCCGGGTCCATGGAGGCCCTGCTCTTGCTGCGCTCTGATGGCCTATGGGAGAGCTGCTTACAGGTTGAGCAGCCAGAGCTGAAGCAGTGCTGGCCTGTAACTGGTCCATATCAAAGAGATGCTCGAGTTCGGCTCGTGCAAGGCCTGGTGCTTACCTCATTGTTCCTGTGTGGCATTGGCATAGTTCTGGCTTGCATTGGGGTCCGATGCTGGACAGATCTACCTCTGAGGAGAGTAGCAGCTTCGGGTGGACTCCTTGTAGTGACTGCAGGCCTTCTGAGCCTGACTGGATTGGGCGTATACACCCACAACCTCAAGAGATTGGGGGTGGATCCCAGTCAAGGACTAAACAACACCAAGTTTCCCCAACTAAGCCTGACTGCAGCCGGATCGCTCTACTTCGGCTGGCTGGGTTCTTGTTTGCAGGTGTTGGGAGGCGGTGCGCTGTTGTTCAGCTTTAAACGACCAAGATGTCCGACCTGTCCGTCACGCCAGGAGCAAACGGTTTGCCCTGCATGCCACTCATGTCCAGAAATTACAAGCAAGACAGACATGGATGTTTATGAAGTCAGCTGTTAAAATGTGAGTGAACACAAATGTTTAAAACTGAGATCTTTCCTCTACAAATCTGCCAGTGGAGGAAAAAAATAAATAAAAAAAACAGATTTTACTTCTGCTCCATATTGGAGTCCAGAAAAATCTATTGCTAAATCAGCTCAAACCTGAAAGTACAATGTTGGCTGTAAATATAAAATGTTGGATTTTATAGTAAAAAATAAGAAAAAAATGAGTACATTTTTGTGCAATGGTTGGAGTTACTATTGGATGTGTCTGTGTCAGATATTCGTAAGAAATAGTGTTTGCAGTTTTTTGAAGATGCTGTGTCGTTCAAAATAAGCATCGTTTTAGACACTGGAATTTCTGCCCTCTTATTTGATTATTTAATACTACAAAAATCAGAGAAAATACTCAAGATCGACTGATGATCTACTTGTGATTTGGTAAATGTTATTTTAAATGTCAGTAGCTTTGTATGACTGTCAGGAGGTGATCAGTGAGAAGATAAAGTGGTGTGCAAACTGTTCTGTTGTGTTTCTGTTTGTACAGTGTGCATTCAATTAAACATTTGAAAGATACAGAAATGTCTATTCGGTTTTTGTATAATCATGAAATTGATAGACAAAATAAAACTTTCTAACTAAAACCTATGACACACATGCAACACAGATGCAAATCTCCAAAAATTTGAATACTATTAAAGAGGCTATTATAACGCTATCAACTCTAATTCATAAGCTGTAAAATAAACAGAAAAAAAAAAAAATTTTATCACTCTGTCATGAATCTATATTTAATATTTTGTTTCTTAGTTTCTAATGGTATTCTGTTTTTTGTAGTTAAACCTGTACAAGTTGTGCACAATATAAAATTTAAGTGGAGATGCTGACATTAGTTCTACAATGTATCTCTGGCACTGGCATCTATTCAGTCTTTTTAACGGCTTGAATTTAGCTTCTCAGTCAATATGAAGCTGGGATGATCTAATCTGCCAGTGCTGGGCAAACAGAGTTTACCATTTACAGCCATATTAGGTCTTAGGACATCGTATTTAAAGGCAGCGCCTCCCACATAATAGCAGAGTGATTGAACAGTTTATCTGCAGGCAAAGACAATAAGCCAGGGGCAAACAGTAAGACCCATCTCAAAGCATACAAATTCAATATGTTAATCTGAGCAAAGACTTTAATTCAATTCAATTCAGTTTATTTATATAGCGCCGAATTCACAACACATGTCATCTCAAGGCACTTTACAGTTCAACCAGATCATACAGTAAAATTGATACAAAGTTTTCTGTCTAAGGAAAACCAGTTGATTGCATTGACTCATTGACTCTCCAGTAATCCCTCACACTAAGCATGCTTGTAGCGACAGTGGAGAGGAAAAACTCCCTTTTAACAGGAAGAAACCTCCAGCAGAACCAGGCTCAGTGTGAGCGGCCATCTGCCGAGGCCGACTGGGGTTCAAGGAGACGGAAGCAGAGACACAAAAAGCAGCCGTAAAAGGCGGCCCCGTCCAGGAAACACACAGCCAGGCAGACGAGCTCCGAGCCAGCTCCCATTCCAGAGGACGAAGAGAGCACATCCACTCAGTCACGGTCAGAGAAACAGGACTACACTGGAAAACAGGCCGATCTCCAACATCTATAAACAAGGGTGTTGATGGAAGCAGCACAGCTGATGTTTCTTTCCAGGATGACGTCACAGCCAAACAGGAACAGACGAGGCAAAGCTACTCTGAGGAAAAGCAGAGAGCAGAAGGTTAGAGATTGAACTAACAGATTCTGTAGAATAGGAGAACAGAGAGAGAATGAAGCAGAATGATGAAATGGGGGTCCCTATGTCCTCCAAAAGTCTAAGCCTATAGCAGCATAACTATAGAGATAGCTCAGGATAACCTGAGCCACTCTAACTATAAGCTTTATCAAAAAGGAAAGTTTTAAGCCTAGCCTTAAAAGTAGACAGGGTGTCTGCCTCACGGACTAAAACTGGTAGTTGGTTCCACAGGAGAGGAGCCTGATGACTAAAAGATCTGCCTCCCATTCTACTTTTAGAAATTCTAGGAACCACTAGTAAACCTGCAGATTGAGAGCGAAGTGCTCTGTTAGGAACATAAGGAACAATCAGATCTCTGATATAAGATGGAGCTTGGCCATTTAAGGCTTTATATGTGAGAAGGAGGATTTTAAATTCTATTCTGGATTTAACAGGAAGCCAATGAAGAGAAGCCAGGATAGGCGAGATATGATCTCTCTTTTTAATTTTCATTAGAACTCTGGCTGCAGCATTTTGGATCAGCTGAAGGCTTTTAACTACAGTTTGTGGACTTCCTGATAGTAAAGAATTACAATAGTCCAGCCTTGAAGTAACAAATGCATGGACTAGTTTCTCAGCATCACCCCTGGACAGGAGATTTCTAATTTTTGCAATGTTCCTCAGATGAAAGAAGGAAATTCTAGAAACCTCTTTGATATGGGATTTAAATGACAGGTCCTGATCGAAAATAACACCAAGATTTTTTACTTTATTATCTGAAATCAGTTTAATCCCATCCAAATGAAGTGACTGGCTAATCAGCTTCTTTTTCAGAGACTCTGGTCCAAAGACTATAACTTCTGTTTTGTCTGCATTCAGAAGCAGAAAGTTAAGAGTCATCCAGATTTTTATGTCTTCAAGACATGCCTGTAATCTATGTAATGGGTTAGCTTCATCTGGATTTATAGCCAGATATAGCTGGGTATCATCAGCATAACAGTGGAAATTAATCCCATGCTGTCTAATAACTCTACCAATTGGGAGCATGTATAAAGTAAAGAGAATTGGTCCTAGCACTGATCCCTGTGGTACTCCACAGGTAACCTGTGAGCATGTGGAAGATTTGTCATTAACATGAACAAACTGAATTCGATCAGATAGATAAGATTTAAACCAGTCTAGTGCTGTTCCTTTACTTCCAACAAAATATTCAAGTCTTTCTAAAAGAATATTATGGTCAACTGTATCAAATGCAGCACTAAGATCTAACAGGACGAGCACAGATACAAGTCCATTATCTGAGGCCATGAGAATATCATTAGTGACTTTCACCAGAGCTGTTTCAGTGCTATGATGAGCTCTAAAGCCAGACTGAAACTCTTCAAAAAGTTAATTATGGTGTAAGTGATCACAAACTTGTTTGGCAACTACTTTCTCAAGAATTTTGGATAAGAAAGGAAGATTGGATATAGGTCTATAATTAACCAAGTCATCTGGGTCAAGAGACGGTTTCTTAAGCAGAGGTTTAATTACAGGAACCTTAAAAGCTTTAGGTACATATCCCTGTAACAGAGATAGATTAATCACATCTAAAATGGAGGAGGAGATCAAAGGGAATACCTCCTTAAATAACCTGGTTGGAACTGGATCTAACATACAAGTTGAAGGCTTAGATGAGGACAATAATTTTGCTAATTCAGAAAGTTCAACTGGATCAAAGCAGTCTAAACCCGGTTCAGATTCCATGACTACCTCAGGTACAATCGCGGATAGAGGAGTGCTTATGATCTTATTTTTAATAAGATCAATCTTATTTATAAAGAATCCCATAAAATCATTGCTGCTAAGAGCAGGTGGAATGGACGGTTCAACAGAGCTATGGCTCTGGGTGAGTTTGGCAACTGTATTAAAAAGAAATCTAGGATTATTCTTATTCTCCTCTATTAATGAGGAGAAGTATGCTGCTCTTGCTTTACAAAGGGTCCTCTTATACAGCAGTAAACCATTTTTCCAGACTTGGAAGGACTCCCGCAGGCCTGTGGAGCGATATTTTCTCTCCAGTTTCCTAGCATTTTGCTTCAAAGTACGCAGCTCTGCATTCAACCAAGGAGCAAGCTTTCTATTTTTAACGGTTTTCATTTTCAAAGGAGCTGCCTTGTCTAAGGCAGTACGCAGAGAACTAGCAACCCCATCAACAAAATCATCAACCTGTGAAGGGGAATAAGCTAAGCTTTTGCACTCTGCAGCACTGCTCAGTGACACAGAGGAGAGAGAAAGTGAAGCAGATTCTTTAAAATTTATAACTGCACTATCTGATAAAGATCTACTAAAATTGAACCTTCTTTTGGGGGAGGAGAACTCTGTTAAAGTAATCCTGAAGGTTATTAGAAAGTGGTCAGAGAGGACAGGGTTGTGAGGAAATACTGTTATTTCTTCACATTCTATGCCGTATGTCAGCACAAGATCCAAAGTATGAAGATGAGAATGTGTGGGACTATTCACATTTTGAACAAAGCCAATAGTGTCTAAGATAGCATTAAAGGCTGCTCTTAAGCTATCGCCTTCAATGTCAGCATGGATGTTAAAATCTCCCACTATGATGACCCTGTCAGTATTTAATACCAAATCAGAAAGGAACTCTGAAAACTCATCTAAAAATTCAGAGTAGGGACCTGGTGGACGATACAAAGTTACAAAAAGAAGAGGTTTTCTTGCCTTGAAATTTGGATCAGGGAAATTAAGGGTTAAATGTTCAAAAGAGTTGTAGGTATTAACTGTTTTGGGAGTAATGAGTAAGTCAGACTGGAAGATTGTTGCTACTCCTCCTCCTCGCCCAGAACTTCTGGGTATGTGAAAATTTAAATAGCTTGAAGGAGTTGCCTCATTTATGCTCACATAATCCTCTTGCTGCAGCCAGGTTTCTGTAAGGCAAAACAAGTCAATGTGATTATCACAAATCAAGTCATTAACTAGCAGACTTTTAGAGGAAAGCGATCTTATGTTAAACAGACCGCATTTAATTGTTTTAACTTTTTCCCCAATTGAAGTTATTTTGATTTTAATTAGATTATCATGATTTACTCCTTTGGGAATCTTTGCTAATTTATTAGATTTTGGTCGTGGGCAAGACACTGTCTGGATGGAGTAAAGAGTGGGTAACAGTAGAGAAGCTGCAGAGATGTGTGTTAAACTACAACTCTGCTTCCTGGTCTGCACCCTGGGTGGTCAGGGTTTTGGAGGACTAATAAATGTGGCCAGATTCCTAGAAAGAAGAGCTGCACCATCCAAAGTGGGATGGATGCCGTCTCTCTGAATCAGACCAGGCTTTCCCCAAAAGGATTGCCAATTATTAATGTAGCCCACGTTGTTTTCAGGACACCACCTAGACAACCAGCGGTTGAATGACGACATGCGGCTAAACATGTCATCACTGGTCAGATCAGGGAGGGGACCAGAGAAAATTACGGAGTCCGACATTTTTTTGGCAAACTTACACACCGAAGCAACACTAATTTTAGTGACCTCCGATCGGCGTAACCGGGTGTCATTACCACCAGCGTGAATAACAATCTTACTGTATTTAACCTTATCCTTAGCCAGTAGTTTCAGGTAGGATTTGATGTCGCCCGTTCTGGCCCCCGGCAAACATTTGACTATGGTCCCTGGTGTCTCTAATGCCACGTTTCTGACTATGGAGCTGCCAATCACCAGAGTGGGCTTCTCAGTGGGTGTGTCACTGAGTGGGGAAAACCGGTTAGAAACGTGAACGGGTTGGTGGTGACCAGTGGGCAGAGATCCACGACTACGCTTTCTGCGTACAGTTACCCAATCGCCTGGCTGCTCAGGCACTTTTGGAGGACAGCTACGTGGGGGGCCTACTTTAACTCCTGGATGTCAACAGCCTGAAGCCTGGATTCTAACTCTGACACCCTCGCCTCCAAAGCTACAAAAATACTACACTTATTACACATCCCATTATCACTAAAGGAGGCAGAGGAATAACTGAACATCTGACACAGAGAGCAGGAGAGAGGAGAGGGAGAAGGAAGAGTTGGAAAAGAGTCAAGGGAGGGAGAGAGAGAAGCCATAGCAATGCTAAGCTAGCGCTAGCCTAAGCTAGCTACTCCTTGCTATCAGAAATAAAACCGTGTGAAACTGACAAGTGCTCAGTAGAAAAGTGCAGCAGAAGGTGCTATGTTTTAAAGTAGTCAGTTAGAGTTACTCAGATACAGAGATATCACAGAGAAAATAACTTAACTTCAGAACTCCATCTGAAGTTTAATTTTAATTGCATCACCTTAATCTCAGTACGAAAAAATCCAGAAAATGTCATATTTTAATGTGATTAATGTTTAATCAGAGCAGTAAACAGTTCATGCAATCATTGTTCTTGCTAATAAACTGAATGCAAACTTATTGGTAATAATTCTGCAGTCAATACTTCAGCATCCCCCTTTTGCAAAATGTGCATTTGGATTATTTCATTATTTCATTCTTATTCTGTGTTGACTGGTAAAGAGGAACCAATGCATTTAAAAGTCCTGATATTCGAATATGTTGATTATGATGTAAGCTTTAAGAATGGTCTCTTCAAGCTGACTCTAACCTTGAGTGTTTGTTGCTGAAAAGCTTAATCCATGGTTTCATCTGACCGAAGCCCAGAGTTAAAGACCTACAGAGTTTACTGAACTCCAGATGTTTACCTTTGTGATTGTAGGGCTGGAAAGGAGTATTCCTGGAATGCTTCCCAAACAAATCATACCAAGTAGGTGGCATCTAATGGTTGAATGATTGATTAATTGCTTTTTAAAACTTTGAGTAAAAGTAAAGCTAAAAGGATGACACCTAAAATCAAATAATTACAGAACAACATACCTTGAAACACATGAAATATGAGACTTTCTGACCTCAAGAAGAACACAAGGCCTTTCAGGGGGTTGAGCCAAAAAATTTTCATACTCTTTGCAGATTAAGTTTTAAAACGGTATTTTAATTTTACCAACATGATGATGACAAGGGAGGCCTTTCCAGCTCAAAGACTTGGAGTTGATCCCAAAAGATGAATCATCATAGTACCAGTGGAAACATGCAAAGATCTGCTCTGCAATTTTTTACTATAATGCATAAACAGATTTTTATACTGTTATTAAGAAGAGTGAAAATAATTTTCGACATGTCATACTATGTTATTCTGATTAAACAGATACACTATATTTTTCAAAAATGTTTTATTATACATAGTTTCATTTACCTTTTGTTCAGATGTCTGCCTTATTTTCTATTAGAAGCAAGCTTCTCAATAGAATAAAATAATTAAAATCTACAACAGCTACATATGTATGAGCAATTTTTGACTTACTTTGCCTGGTGGCGAGATAAAAATTGGTTATGTCCATGGTTTAACCTGCGAGTAGAGATGCGCCTCAGTGTCACAACTTATTTATTCTCCAGGCAGACTGAAAACTAAAGATGGTAAAAACTCTGATCAAAATACAAAATATGCCTGTTCCAGTCGTCTCACAGGGATTGTTTTTTAAACATGGGACTTTCTTTTAAACTGAATAGATGTTCTAAAATTAAAGGCTAGATTTTCTAAAACACTTTCGGTTTTCAAATTTGTTTTTACCAGGCATGACAGGATGAAAGGCAGATAATGTAGTAGGGTTATTTGAGGGAAAATTTTGCAGAAATTATAAGCAATCCAGAGACTCTAAGAATAAACATCATTCAGTTAATTTACATCTGTTGCCAGTAGAAAACAGTAATTGGTTGTAGTGGTAGTTAGTTCTGGTCATAAAAGTGTGAGCAGGAAACTATATTATAGTTGAATTAGTGGACTTTCAGAGAACAGATTCAAGAGCAACCAGCAAAATAATAAAGCTTTAAATTAATGAACACTGACACAAAAAAGAATCGCCAGTGATTTTCAGGTATAGTGTTCAGTCATATCAATCTTAAATACAGTAGCATCTGGATAAACATAATTATTTTCATCCATCCATATAGCATTCTATAACACTCATGTCTTTAGACTGTGGGAGGAAGCCAAGGTACCCAGAGAGAACCCACACGTGCACAGGGAGACATGCAAACTACATGCAGAAAGTTCCGGGTTACCATTTGCATGTTTCCAAGTGATACAAGGCTTTGTCTATATAAGACTCAAACTCACTGCGGATCCAGACATTTGAATTGAGAAAGCTTCCTGGAGAGGTGGCGAAACGTCTTCAAATCTTGGAAACCAAGTCCAGTGGATATTTTTTGAATTTTTACGGAATGACTATGACCTGGATGACTGAGAATCTGCATAAGCATACATGCAGAAAGGCCCCTGGCTGGGAATCAAACCCAGAACAGTGCTAAAAAAAGCACCACCATGCAATCGTAAGTATTTTCAATTATTAAAATTATATACAATAAGGATTCTTACCATATTGACACAAAAACATTTGTGTTAATTGTGCTGAAATTGGCTAATAAAACCCTAACATTGACCTTCTCAGAAAGGCTAAATCTTACATAAGATCGGTTAAAATGATGCTATATGGAGATAACATTGTTACCTCACAGCAAAAAGGTTCTGGGTCCAAATCCCTACCTGATGTCTTCCTTCATAGAGCTTCTAAGTTCTCTCTGTGCATATGTGTGTGCTCTCTTGATGCTCCAAGCTCCTCCTGCAGTCCAAAAATATGTCTGAAAATAAATGCCTAGTTTGCTCTTAGGTTAAAGAGTTTGTGTGTACCTGGTTGTTTGTCATGAGTGCAATCGAGTGGCGACCTGTCTAGTGTATAATGCAACTAGAGGGACCACCCAAAGGTCACGGAAAGAACTTTAAATGCAAAAACAATGTTATGGTCATGTTATGGCCTACGTCATCATGGGGAACCCTCCTAACTTTCCAACAGTTAGTTGATGACACTTTTACAAACTGCTAAATCCCCCCAAAAAACAAAACAATGACAAGTTAAGTCAAGGGTGTAACTTTGTGATGAAAATTGGTGGGGACACTCTTAGGGAGGGGGGTTATTGGACCTGCAGTTACTTGACAACGCTTTCAATAGGGTATGCATTTTCCAAAATGAGCTCAAACATATATTTATTTAAATCTTTCCTATTTTTGAGAACAAGAAAGATACACTGATATTTATATTTCTGGGTAGTAAGAAATGTATGTATTTAAAAAAAGGATGAATAACAGCCGATTTCAATGCCATAAGCAAAATATCATGCCTCCCTAGTATGCACACAAATTTAGTTTCATTCATCCGTCCATCAATCCATCCAAAGAAATGTGGATTGATGGATGGATGTTTTCCCTTTCAGCTACATTAGTGAATATCCTCCTTCAAAAGCAGCAAAATCACATTTAATGCCAAAGTCTAAGTATTGAAATTATTAGTGGGACTGTCCCCACCAGTCGTTCAAAAAGTTACGCCTGTGAGTTGATTTAAAGTGAAAACTGTGGTAGAAGGTGTTCATCTCATCCTTAAGAAGAATGTAAAGCAGTGATTGATGAGTTTGGGTAAGATTCAGGCAATGGGCTACAATTGCAAAAAAAAAAAAGTACTTGGTAAAAACGAAACCTGAAAAGAGACAATGTCAGAAGTGTCTTCCTGGGGTTCTAAAGAAAAAAGACTTAACTTTTGCTTTAAAAAATGGTACATTGTATTTGTTCTGAGTGTTTAGAAAAGAGGCAGAGAAGCCAGACAGCTTGAGGTCCAGTGTGAAGTTTCCACGGTCAGTGAAGGGAGTCAGGACAGCTGCTAATCCAGGCCAACAGTTTGATCAAGTCCTGAATAATCCTGCTTTTTCTCACCTAATTTCTTGATAAAGTGTATTGTGGTTTATGAGCTTTAGGCTAAAATAAACAGAAATAAACACTCTTAATATATCACACTGAGTGCAATTATTGTAGATGGTATATGAGTTTTACTGTTTCATTTTCACTGTCTGAAATTTATGAACTTTTTTATCAAGTTTAATTTATTGTGATGCATTTGCATTCTTAAATCATCTTCACTCTGTAAACCAGCATGGTGAAAAGCCTCTCTGCTTCATTCAAGGCAAATACTGTACGGATTATTTATGGAAAAATCCTTCAGACCAATGAAGGATTCTTAAAGGAGCCCAGTCACATACTGTGCCTCAACCAAAAACACCAGTATCAATATGTTCATGTTATAATAAAGCATAATAATCTATTCATCCTGATCCTGTTTACCTTGTTCTTTTTAAGGCTGAAAAATCCTTTTTGTAGCAAGCTCAATCAGCAGACATAAACATTATTGTTTATGTGAGGACTGCCACTGGCTGGCAGCGCTGACTCAACATCCTGTTTCAATTAACTCCAACATAAATTATTTTGATATCCTTTTTAAAACTTGATTCTGAGGTTTTCTTTCTTTTCACGCCTCTGATGGGTGTATTTTGGCTCAATTACTTCCCTGTTCACTGAATCAACGCATGCGCAATGTTGTACCTCCTGTCTGTTGGTCTCTTTAGGGTAAACATACTAACAATTAGAGCAAAAACAGTGTGTAAAGCACAAATAAAATATAATGAGTTACGAGGGAGATATAGTTACATGTAAATTTGGTAGGTATGGTATGTGACTGGGCATCTTTAAGTAAGCACGTTAAAGTGGTGCACTAAAGCACTGACAAAGGAGCTTAAAAATCTTGGATCAGCAGCTGGAAAGGTTCAACAATATTTTTCAAAGATACCTTTAAGGTAATGTGAGTAAACCAATAAAAACAGTAGTTATGGGTAAATATTTACATATTAAAAAGGCATGACCTAACAAGAGAAATTCTCTGTGAACTTTTAAAAGAAGTTCAACCTAAAATCTAAATTATTACCTCATAACTAAATTATTTATTTCATAAATATGTGCTATGCACTTGGTAGATTTTCTTCTTACATAAGAAGAGGATCAAATCTTTAAGGATGCAGTTTTTGGATTGAGAGGCAATGTAAAGTGATCCCTGCAGGGAAAAGTCATAAGAGAATCTGTTTACATGTGCTTCTGTTACAAAGCCCCCGGCAAACGTCCTTATCTTGTCCAAAAGGGGCTTTACTGAGCAGCTGTCCTATTAAATGTAGAAGTAATGATCAGGAGCTTCTCCGCTTTCTGCATTTTTACGCAGCTGATTGTTTATCGAGTCCTTCAGCGACCCCACAGAGAGTCCCAGCGTCGGGCTCGACTCACAACTCGAAGAGCACACTGGGATCTCCGGCAGAACATCAGACGGCTCTGCATCCACAAGCTGCTCGCCGTCGCTTAGGCTGAGTCTGTACGCGCCCTCTGTCTCTGCGGCGGGGGTTTCCGTAGCAACAGTTTCCACGGTGACGTCCTCAGCAGGCGTGTCCTGCACCAGAGCAACGTCCTCTCTTCCCGTCGAGGCCTTTTGGGTGGCCAGCCTCTCGATTTCTGAAACCAGCTCCTCGTTATGCTCCTTCCACTGCCGGTACTTTAAAGCAGTCAGGTCAGAGTCGTCCAGGATCTTGTTGATCTGCACCAACTCAGCTTCTTTTGCCTGCAAAGAAAACAGCTTTCCATTTACATGCAGCTTGGAGTTGTAATGCATCTGCAAGAAACATGTTTTCTACAAAGGTTTTCACCCAAACTCAAGTTTGGCTGGAGCAATCAAGAGTTAAAGATTACTGTTCACTAACATTTTTATTTAATTTACTGAGTTCTAACATCAGGCAAACACAATTTTGTACACTTGAATCAGACATTTTTAACATGGTAGCTCTTTTGCAACCAAAGCGAGTGTCTCTCCTCACCTTCAGAGTGCTCTGCAGGGCGCGAAGCGCGTGCACCTTCTCATTGATGACGGGGTTCTTGTTGCGCCGAATGAAGGACCTCCTGAAGTGGTCGTGTGTGAACGGCTGCTCGTGGCCAATCAGAGAAACGCCTCCTTCCTTCAGGTTATTAAACATCATTCCCATCTCATCGACACTGCCGCCCTCTTAAAAGCGAGAACAGAAAAAGACAAAGATGGAGCATCTTAAACGAAATCACTACTATTTATTTGTTTTTGACAGCTTTTAATGACAGCTGGTTACATATAAATATGTACAACAGTGTGTGGTTTTTGAAGGACATTTTTTTCTAGTGGATGAAAAAAAAGAATTTAAAACATCTAACTTTGAGTTTGTATTAAAATAAACAAAGAAAAAGAAAGGTGTTGAGAGACTCTTAGAAAGCAAACCTGTTCCTTTGCTGCCCTCTGTTAAAGAAGTCGGTATTGGCGCCTTGGCTATTTTCCCCTTGGGTCGAGGCAGGGTGTTAGACTGCACCTTCTGCCACACACACACACAGAGGCATCATCATCATCATCATCATCATCATCATTATCAGCTTCAACCAGATTTGTTTCTGCTGCTTTGTCTCTCCATAATTGCACCGACCTTGTTTCTCCTGCGAGGTGAGGGAGACGAATCGCTCTCTGATTCAGTTTCACTGTAACACTCTGTTAAAACATTAACAAGAGCGTTGAATTAACGACATTACCTTAAATATGTGTCTCCTTTCCTGTTATTGTTAATAAGTAGCTGCCTGGCAACCATAGCAACAGCAATTAAACTCCATTCTCTCTTAACTGTTAATGTTGCATAATTTAAAAGCATAATAATGGAACAGGAGGCAGTCATTATTATTTTTTTCCTTCCCCCCACTGGTGCTGATACCAAAGCCTTAACATGCAGGGCTGCAAATCAATATAATGCATTAAGACAACAGGAGATTTTAATATTTTGCTTTAAAAAGATAAGAATCAAAAAATTGTTGCCCCACCTTCTTCACTATCTGGACCTTTTTCAAGCTTCTTGTACTTTTGAATGGCTGAAATCAGACTGTTTATCCACCTGAAGTTAAAAAACATCATCAACAACAATGAGTTACATTGCCCTGGAAGAAAAATATTCATACCCCTTAACAATCTCACATTTGTATCAAAATGCACTGGAGTACATTTCACTATGATTTTATGTGATGCACCACCACAAAGATGTGCATAATGGCGACATGGGAAAAAAAGTTAGCTAAAACTGCTTGTTCATTGTGCATTTTTACCCCCACCTTTCATCTGATGACCTTAAATAAATTACACTAGATCCAAATGCCTTTAGAATAAATCCTATCAGTAAAAAAACTCCCAAATAGGTTTTCTATAATTCCAGTAGATTAAACTGATTTATTGAAGGCCTCAGATAACTTTTTAGAGAACATTGGGGATCAAACAGCATCCGGAATTTCAAGGGACACATCAGAAGGCTCAGAGAAACCTTTACGGAGAGGTTTAAAGCGGTGTTACACAAATGTTTCTTCAGTCAGTCATAAGTAAATTGACAAAGTATGACAAAACTGCAGACCAAAAAAACATGCATAAATTAAAAGTTGGGAAAATGGATCGACAACCTGGGTGGGATTTGTTTACAAAACCACTATTAGTTGTGAGCTGCACAAATCTGGCCTCAAATAGATTTTTTTTATTTTTGTTTTTATGCTAAAAGGCAAGAATTATTATTCATTAACCAAATAGTTATAAGCTGATTGTTTTATTTTCCAAGACAGAAAACCCAGAAAAATACGGTGAAATGGTTGATGTAACATTACTTAATGACTAGAAAGCAAAGTATATTAATACTTTTGCAAGATTTAAATTGGTGCAAACGTCAATGAAAAAGGTTGTAGAGCTAATTATGATTAAAAAAAAGCATATTTGTTAAAAAAAAAAAGTTTAAAAAAAGTAAAAATAAAAAATAAAAAAAAGAACAATATAAGGAGAAGAAACAAGCTAAACAGCAGGGGGCGCTGTGCACAAAGCTTCAAAAATAACACAATGAAATGCCTTTTTGTATGAACACGATTAGTTTATGGAGTTTTTGCATCAACATGTTAAACTTTTAATGACACGACCACATAAATAAAAAGATACAATTTCAATACCCTTCATGGGGAATGCTCTGTTTCCTTACTTGCTCAGGTCGCTGGCAGTGTCAACAGCGAAGAAGAAGTTCTGAAATTTCTGATGGGTCATCTGGAAAACGCTGCATTACAAAGACGGAGGGTTGAGGGTCAGATATATATAATTAACTATTTAAAAAATGCAGACATGGTGATGAGACAAATTTTCATGCCTTTTAAGTGTAAAAGGACAGTTCTACTTTAACTGAGACATTTTTATTAGGATGCTCATTATAAAAGCTGCATATTAAGCAAAACAAAGACAGAAATTATGAACCTTAGCTTTATCATGTTTGATTCTGGCATCATATATTCATTACTATGCATAGACCACAAAGTCCCACAGCACCAGTGGAAAATTGCTTATAGCTTGCTTTATGATGCACCATTAAAGGAATACTCACTGTTTTCTCTTGTGCTCTCCACCACTCTCTAATCTGTAGCTGGATATGTTGAGAAGACCCTCTGCTTTTTCATCCTGAAAAAAAATAAAGAAATAGATAAAACTTAGTGAATTCAACATAATCATTTTAAATCTGCAGGTATTAGAAATCGGATCCTACCTGTGGGGTGTTATACCAATAAAGGCTGGGTCCTTGCAGAACAAACCAGAAGCGATGCCACTTGTGGGTGAGGAAGACGCTGCTCTCCTTCCTCTTTTTCCAGAGCCAGCCATCACAGTCTGGATGAGCCAATTCCCGGCAGGACACACGTCGCCGGCTCAGAGCTGTCGACATACCTGGGAGAGCACAACCAGAAAAAAGGTCGGATACGTAAAGTACACATCTAATAAGGATTGATTCTGCTTCAACAGCTCTCCAGCCTTAAAAAAGCACAAATATAACAGATTGAAATAATATTTATCACCTTTAAGCCCAGTATCGAATCAATAAAAGTCTGTTCAGCAAATAAAAGCTACATAGAAAAACTAACTAGACTAAATCAGGCTCTAAAATATTTATTTGTATTAATATTAAAGTCTTTGCTTAATTTACCACTTTAAATTTTATATACAAATAACATTTAAAATGAAGCAACCTTTAGATATTTACAGGAAAAGCAGAATAATTTCTACAACTAGAAATCACCCCATACAGATGTTTTTGAGGCCAGTCCTGATTCCAATGATTTTGGAAATAAGATTAATCAGTCCCCGATATGTTCAGCCATTTTTTGGGGGGTTGATTCTTAAAGCCCATATTGCTTTTTCTTCTTCCATTTAAATAATAAAAAACACATGACTAGAACAACTGTAAAAGGTGATTGATTGCAAATGGAGGGAATGCCAAGGCATGTCCATCATGCAATCTGAAAATTTTGCTGGAATGCATGCAGCTATGTGTCAATACGATGCAAAAAAAAAGAAAAGAAAATCCAAAAAAATATCATCAGGATTATTTATCTGTCTACCTCTAATCAGAGCTGTATAAATACAAATGCTTCGTTACTTAAGTACAAATTTTGGCTATTTACAACTTTTTCCTTCTATTTCTTTTTTTTTACAATTATCTCTACTTTCTACTCCTTACAATTTAAAACAAGACACATTCGTTTTTCATCATGGTCTGTTGGTATAAAAAATAAAAAACAATGAATCAAAATAATTAGTTTAATTCAGACAATTCATTTCCTTGTGGTTGGACCTGGTCCTGCATCACCTTATTGTACACCACATATCAAAATAAAGAGTTTTTCAAGATGATGCAAAGTTAAATTTGTCACGGTTACCATTAGATATTTAAGTATGAGGAAGTTATCCTCCAAAATCCTAGAAAAATATTCCTTTAACAGGGTAGTAGAGTATAAGGTTTAAAGCATATGTCCTTAACATTTTTTCCTGCATTACTTTTACTTTCATACTTTAAGTAGTTTAAAAATGGTACAGTTACACTTTTACTTGAGTAAAATCTTAAAAACTCCTACAAAAATGTTTTTAAACTTTAGGATTTATAGTTCTACTTGAGAAAGAAACATTAATACTTTTGACACCTCTGCCTCTAATTATGACCACAAACCTCTGTAGACTTTATTTAGCCTTCATTTGATATACCAACACACTACTTATATCAAGCCCTTGGTTTTTTTAAAGTAGATTTTACATGTTTTGTTTCCTTAAAGGGGGATAAATACTTCTATTAGATGCTGCATGATCCAAAAAGTTACCTTTTGTAGACGTCTTCTTTGTTTCCTTATTTGTCTAAAAAAAAAAGAAAAAATTCAGCAAGTTACAGAGATCAGGTGTATGCTTAGGTCCAGGATATTGACCTAGATAAAACTAAAACAAATGTTGTCTCACCGTGTGCCCCACCATTTCGGGGCAGGAGCTGACACTAACTCGTTCTTGGTTAAATTCAAAAGGGGACGGACTTCTTGGGGAGGGGGTCCGGTCTCTCCTTAGATTCGGAGAGAGCCTGTTCGAATTACTCTCAAAGACTGAGAAACGTACAACAGGAAAGATAGTCCCTTAATCACAACACCAGTGGGGGAAATACATGTCTTATTGTACACATCATCATCACTCAAAATTAAATGTGGTAATAGGTTTATGTTAGAAGTCAATAACCTGCTTTCTTGCATAATAATCATGATTATCAGCATGGAGGCTCCATTTTAGTGTTTATTTTCTTTTCAGTGTAGGGTTAAATACTACTGCAATAAGAGACTATTTATTTTAAGTGTACATGATATACATGTAGTGCAAATTCCAGGGGAGCAGTATAGAACTAATACGGCAGTTTTAGTTCATATTGACTAAGCAAATGTTTTGAACCTTTTAAGCTCCTTTCTAGTCAGTTTAAAGACTAGAAATCATGCTGGTATAAAAATAAAGCTACGACTAGAAATTACATCAGAAGTATTAGTATCACAGCAGTTGCTATAGTTCCAGAGACATGAGGATGAAACATTGGAGTATAAGATAAAACTTTTTCCTGTTGCAGAAGTTTTTTTACAATATACAGGAGAAGAGTCTCCTGGAAATATAATTTCACAGAAGTTAGAAAACCTCAAATCTTACTGTGGGCTTTATCTGTGCAAAGATTTATGCAGCTGAGAAAAACTAAAATAAAGTTAGAGAGGTTTTAGTTAAAACTAAAATTAATATAAAAGTAGAGGGGTTTTAGTAAAGACATTTGGGATTTGTTTAACATCTATAATCTATGTTTTGACTTGCATAATTGAACAACATTCTATTCAAATGTCTAAAATATATATGAATGATATTAACCTTCTCAAAACATTTTTAAAAAACAGAGCAACAGCTACATATATATATATACATATATATACATATAATATATTCTGTGGTGCTGAATTCAGCTCATAATCCCACAGATCTGAACTACTTTTTTATGGGTGTGAAACAGAGAATTACATTACAGGTCCTACAATGAATTAGGGTTTTAATCTTTAGCCACCTTTCTGGCTCCACCTGCAATACCTGCTAGCTACCACATTAACATGGGATCCTCCGTGTAAATGTGGGTGTCAGCATAGATTTACGTCATGGATTTGCTGTGTTCTTAATGCAAAGCTTTAATGCTTCCTCCACAGCATACATCATTTTCTGGGATGCTATTCAGTTCCAAACACAAGCAGTCTAACCAGCAAAATAAACAATACTAACCCAGATCTGATTCCTAAAGCCTGTAAGATCAGGCGCTGCAGTGCAGCTATGGCTCTGGCTGCCCATCGGCATTATGCAGAGGCGTAACTCCAGCTTGGACTGGCTGAGTTTAACTAATGACCCGTCATTTTCATCATTGTGTTTACATCAATAAACAACAACCGGAAAGAAATTGAGGAGTTTTATGAAAGTTGTTGGAATATTATCTTTGTCCAGTTAAGTGGTGGTAACTGGGTCAGAGAGAAGACAAATGGACAGTAAGGTGTTTGGAAAATATGGCTTTGAGGTACATTCAAGAAAAGACCAAAAAAAAGGGTAGGAAAGCTTTTTTACATTATTTTTAAGATTATAAAATGATTACTCTGGTGTTCTTTGGCTGCTGATTGATTGAATTCTGGGTCGATTGGGAAAAATTTTATATTTTTGGAATCAATAAGATCACTGCTTTCAGCAGAGATGTTTTTCTTTTGTTTGAGTTTGTTAAGGGTTTGTGGAAATGTTTTAAATTGGCTCTTAGTCAAGATTGTAATGTTTCTGTGGACATATCAAATATGTCTAAATTTAATGAAGGAAACTTAGAAAAATGAATCAGAGGGAGGAAAAGATCTAATTACTTCGCGTGGTACTTGGGTATGGGGCAGAATTCTTTTCTTAAAGGAGAGCAGTTTTTTTTTTTTGTTTTTTTGTCTATTAAATAAAATATGTTATCTTATTTGGAAACCAAAGAGTAAATCTCCACAGTGCCAGGCTCAGACTTGCCAATGACACTACTGGAATGTCTGGCTTTAAAAACTGAATTAAGGCAAATTTTTTCATGACATAATTTTTTCATGACATTGTTGTTGAACTGTTGAATTAAATTGTTGAACTGAGGAGGTAAGTGAGATCCTTTGCCAATAAAATAAGACAATTTAAACTTAAAACCATAACAAAAAAACAATTGAATTGTCTTTTTTGAAGTGAATGTTATCTAATTATGTTATTTTAATTAGTGTATTTACCGGTACCCTTAATTTAAGTAGGTAAATAAGATGTGTTGCCAATGGAATGAGTATTTTTAATCTTAAAAAAAGATAATTACATAATTTGCACCTGAAATAAGACAATGCAATTGTGTTTTCTTATTTTAAGTGTAAATTGTCATTTTCCATTGGCGAAATGTCTCTTTAACCTCCACAATCCAAGAACAAATGCACTTATTTTAAGAAAAAATGACTTATCTAGATATCCTTTTTTTTCCCAGTGTGTAGAGGATTATAAAAAAAAACCCATGAACTACAATGTATAAGAATGTTTGCCTAATGGATCCTGCCTTAAAAGCAGATGAATTTCATACGAAAAATAAAAATAAATAATATTTAGAGGGATCCTAAGAAAGCCGTCTTCCTACCTGGCAGAGGAGACAACCTGCCCTGTTGGTTCTGAAATGCAGTTAAAGTCAGTCCCCTCTCCGGTTCCTTGTCAGAAGGCAACTCGGACTCTTCCTGTCCCATAGGCTGCTGTCGAACCTCTGGCCCATGAACGGCCCGCCTGCAGAAGAACACACAGAGAAATTATTCTCAGAAGCTTGGTGGTGATTCTAGGAACATCCAAAAAAAGCTGTTCTTCTGAAAATACTGAGATTTCCCCCCTTACTAAAAACCAAAAAAAGAAGCATAACAGAATCAATAACTGTGTGAAAAAAGCTTAAGAATTGACCTCAGACACCAATAAAATCTGTAATCATGTGATTCTGATTTAACAAAAATAGAGGAAACCTGCTTTTTCAAAAGTCCACATTGAAAAGAGGCCAAAGCTTGTTCTGAGATAAGACTTTACATGCCTATAGTCCATTTTTTTTCCAGGACTGGATCTGTTGTGCATCACTCCCACCGTTTCTCTGCCTTCCCTGTCAGCTCTCATTTTTCATGTTTGCTTCTTCTCACTTTTTCCAACAATTTCTCTTGTTTTGATTTCTCCTCATCTTTCCTAAACTCATTGAGATTCTTGTCAGCATATGTTAGTGTTCTCCCATTTCCAGAGAAATCTGGGCTGTCGGTGTGCTTTCTGGACTTTATGGCATCTTTGTACCCTTTAGGTTCATGGCAGCTTGAAAAGAGGAGACATCAGAGGTTCTGTTGTATTAAGCATACCTGTGCTGACTTAGTGCTCTTCTTCTAACCTTTTTGAGTCACGACCCCATGCCCGACCAATATATACTTATACATTGCATTTACATAATCAGACAGGCCTCAATCCTCTTCAGATGTTTGTCTCTTTATCATTTTGATGCACTTTGGTCCTGTTGGGTGTCGAAAGTGCTTTATAAATAAATTTGGTATGGTATTTAACATTAATAAACACTGGGATTCTTTTTGGATGAACAGGGAAGCAGTGGGTAGCACTGCTGCCTTGCAACAAGAACAATCCGGGTTCGATTCCCGGTTCTGGGTATGTCTGCAGAGTTTGCATGTTCTCCCTGTGCATGCGTAGGTTCTCTCCGGGTACTCCGGCTTCCTCCCACAGTCATAAAACATGACTGTTATGTTAATTGGCTTCTCTAAATTCTCCTTAGGTGTGAGTGCGTGCTTGAATGGTTGTTTGTCCTGTATGTCCTGTTGCTCAGCATTAGACTAGTGACCTGTCCAGCGTGAACCCCGCCTCTTGCCTATTGAGAGCTGGAGATAGGCACCAGTACTCCTTGTGACCCCAGCAGGGATAAGTGATGGAAAAAGCGATGGATGGATGGGATCTTTTGACAAACTAAGCAGCATCAAGAGGCTAACTTCTGAAACTGACCGGCAAAGGTCATTACATCACATAACTTTGTTGTTAAAATATAAACAAATAATGTAAACATTAATTTCCTTCTATAAAATAACAGCTACACATTTACAAAACACAATAGAAAACAGCCTATGTTTAACAAGTAAACACTTCCTTGTCAAAAGCAGAAATGTTTTACAGCAACTATTTAATGTGATGGCTGGGCATACTTATTTGAAGAGAGCTGCTGCATTGAGGGCTTTATGTTAGAAACAGCAATGCAGGGATCCATATACTATGTCAGCACAGAAAGTGATATGCGGATGCAAATGGAAACAACGCATCAGTTGCAGCTTTTGATAGAGCTGCTTACTCAGTTGCTACGGACAACCAGAAGTCTTTCAGCATGCACACAGAGAAAACAGTCTGTTAATATGGGATCAGAGGCAAGATTGGACAGGGTGTCCTGCAGCTCTGATGACAAGCGGTGTATAGTTAAGGTGGTTCAAGGCATGTGCAGTCGTTCTTTTCTGGCGAGTCATTATTCAGGAAGTACTTACTGAAAATTTAAAGCATGCTCATGGTTTCAATGGTTATGTCGTAAGGCTCCATAAAGACCTCAGGCCCCAAGAACATTTCAACCCTTCCACCATCCACTGGCCCAGCCCTCTGCTCCAGCTTTATCTTTAACACTGTGACCTTAGTGGACAGGTTGATTGTTGAACAAAACCTTTTAAGTTATGGCGAACAGTAACTCACCATCCTTCTAATGTCCGGTCAGGAGCTCAAAATTTTTTCCAAATTATATTTTCTAAAATGATTTGTCATCTCTCAGAAATCATCTCAAGACTCCAACGGAGAACGGGACCCCAAAGTTGAGAATAGCTCACAAGTTTTTTGGTTTTTTTTGGCTGACTTTATTGTTTCAGACTGTCAAAGATTTTTTCATATATGAGAAATACAACCTACTTCATTCTAACCAGCGTGTGTTCCTCCACATGCTGGGTTTGTTAGAATGCAGGACTAAAAGCTGACATTTTCCTCTAACTGAGCTGCGGATCCCTGCAGCTCCTCCAGTTACAATGGGCCTCTCAGCTACTTCTCGCCTTTTCCAATCTGTCAATTTAGCCGGACCTCCATGTCCTGGTAACCTCTATGTTAACATGATTGATTAAAAAGAGCCCAGAGATCTTTAAAGCTTAGGATACTGTTTTACGACCTACCTCTGCTTCAACCTCCACCCTAATATTTCTGCTTTGTTCCTTCGTCTTAAAAAGCCCACTAAGAATTTAACCTGGTAAACCTGAATTTAACCCTACGCAATTCAGGACTTTATTCAGCAGTTAATTAACTCCTAAAGGGTAGCTCTGGACATTACTAATGGCTATCAAAGTGAAGGGGAGGCTTAAATACAAAAACACACTAACTTTTAGATTTTATTTGATAGAAAATAAAAGCAGTTTACCCTTCAATTATGCACCATTTGGTGTTTGGTGTCATTTGCATAAAATGCTAATATGTCGGGGATTTTCACATGACAGAGCTGAACATATATGAACACTTTTGCAAAGTGATAAATAAATGGATTAATAATCCTACCTGAATGACAAGGATCGAACAGAAGCTGCAACTCTCTCGAATATGGAGGATCTCTGATTTTCGTCTTTGTCCTCCTGTTCTTCTTCTTCTGACTTTTCTTCTTTCTCCTCTTCCTCCTTCTAAGAACAAATCAGACCAAATCCAAACATTTGAATGTGAATATTGACGCCTCTGTGTGTTTACGGATTAGAGCAGGGGTAAGAAAGCGGATGTCATGTGGACTGCGATGGCAACCCCGTTCCTCGGGGCTCCATCTGCACTCACTGCGGTTGAGCAGATGAGAAGGCAGCACAGTCCCACAAACACAAAGTCTGTGAAAATCTCACTGAAACCAGGGCATTGTCTCAGGGCAATAGGGGGGCTGATATATGCAGCTGATTCACATCATCTGAAGTGTTCTATCAACCCATGCTGCCGGCTAAATCTGAGATTATCATGGCAATGGTCACAAGGGGGTGTGAAGCACACATTGTGTGCTGGTGAACTTGTGCATTGATGCAGGCTGTATTTCACCGTGGTGATCATAAACAAACAGCAGTCGACATGGTGATGGATTGAAGTGTTTGTGGAAACTGAATCCCAAGAGGTGATAAGCAGAAATTGAGCTGAATAATTAGGAGTTTTCCAAGTAAAGTACAAAGACTAAACAGTATTAGGAAAACATGTTATATGACATTTAAAAGAAATAAAAAATTCCATAATATGTGACGTTGATGTAACATTGGTTTGGGTTTGACTCGTTATATTACCAGAGATACAGGAGTCACTTAACCACTTTCGCTTTTTTTATTTTTTTAGGTCAGTAGTCACAGACTATAATATTAGCAGATTTCTGCCTATGTCAACTGCTGCTTGTGAGCTTATTTTTAACCAGAAGGATCTAGTATGAGAGCTCTGACAACTCCATTGATGAGCATTTCAAAGAGTAATGGTGATGCACAGAGCTTAAAGGAAAAGTCTGGTCACATTCGGAATAAAAACTTCTGAAAGTACTTTAACTATGAAATTATAACATACTTTTCAATAATACGTTTTTAATTAAGAGTAATATCATTTGAATGTGCTTTACCGGAGACATCCATGTTTGTCAAAGAACACTACTACCACCTAACAGTTTATAACGTCATGGTGCTGTATCGGCTGTCAAGCAAGTCCCAGTTGGCAATCCAACTACGAACCCATCCGTGAAGGATCATGGATCAGAAAGGTGAAATAACACTTTTTTTTCACTTTTACCCGATGTATTACGACATCCAACTGCCATGCACGAGGGCATTGTCAGTTTAACTATAGCTCTGGTGAATTTCAATGGTGAAGTCCTCTGGAAATCTTCAATAATTGTTGTTATTTGCAGATGTGTCTAGTAGTTCCCATTGATTTTGCTTGTAAAGCGGGGAGAATGGCGCTAGGCTTACCGCACTGTGACGTCACTGCTGGAAGATGGCAGGAGGGAGGTGTTAATATATTGGGACAAAAATGGCCATTCCTGGACTCAGTGATCGTGACGAAAAATACTGTTTTTAATTTTTTACTGAATTAACGCTAAATTCATTATATCACCGCAAATGTATTAGTTTTAAATATAGATAATGATCTATTGATTATGCCTTGAGTCACATCTGAGTGAAATTAATATGCTGAAACAGGCTCTTTATAAAAAAAAAAAAAAACACATTTCACATGGATAAAATAAGCCATAAGATGTAGTACAATCTCTCAATAAGTAAGTAATGTTGTAACAGCTGTGTACTTTGTGAAATAATTACCAAAATTTTCACAGGTCTGTCTATGTTTTGCAACCTAACTAGTTTGATCGTCTGCTGGCAAGACTCTAACACTCAACGGTTCTGATTTTAACCATTTAACTCAAGCCTGAAGGGCAAAAAACACATCAGAAGGTTTACTTTAGGTCTTTTCTGCCATCTTGTTAGAACACTGTTTTCAACATTTGCCAATTGATTAGTTCATTACCGTCTAGCATTATTTGCCGTCCAAGATGTTGTTTCTTTGGGATTCTTTTGGCAGAAGTAGACTTTCTTAGAAAGTAAATTAAAAGGAAATGTGGTTTCTATTTAAATAGCTCTACCCAATAATCACACCGCAAACTCCATATTTATACAGCATCCAATTAACAACAGACTATCAAGATATTAAACAACCAGAAAAAAATTAAAACTTAACTATCATAATATGATAGCTTGCTTGTTGATTGATTAAAAGCATCTGGACCAAAAATAATATATTGATATTTTTATTCTGATGGTGATGTATGATTTGAATCTTTTTTTTTTTAAATATAAAAATCACAATAAATCGAATCATATTAATGAAAAAACTGATTTAAATCAAAGCTTTGTTCCAAAGGTCGCATGGAAACATAATGATCCCTCTCAAACTAAATGTGTTTAGAGAGGGAAGGGGGTGGGGCAACAGGAAGTTCAGTGCAGACAAATGGGGAAGAAGAAATGGATGAACTGGGGGATCTGAAGTATAATTATAACCAACATACTACATCTCGACAGTATATTTTGTCTCTTTGTTTACAGTTTCGATATTTTAAAAACCTCACTATACTGCACAGCCTTACTAGAATGTTATTCATGTTTTGCAAAAAAAACTTTCATTTGTAGTACATCTTTATCAAGCTGTATAGTTTACATTGACCTAACCACGTGAGCAGAGGATGTCTGTGTGTTTAGGATCTCATCTTTTTTTTCCCGAATTATTTGGGGTATTATAGTTAAACAGTCTATAAGTGTCACAAATTTTATTTGAGTTTGTAAAATTAGGATTGCAAATAATCCTCTGATTCGATGGAGGATTTCTGTATTCTTCTGTATAAAAAAGGAATTAAAACCTACTAAACCTGTAGATAACAACTGTATCTGTTTCTCTTAAAAAAACAAACTAAAAGTCCAATTTTTGGTGTATACAGTGGTATATATATTGGTCACTTGCTCAAACTCAGCATCAAACAGTTGCAACAATACAGGGTATATTCTTTGCTGTTTTATAATGTCTAATTTTTCAAACTCCCAGGGTAAAATCATCATCTTCTTGACACTCACTGTGACGAGATTTTATTCTCACGAGAATAAAAGGTAGAAATAACATCAATTTGTTGAAAGAAACTTCAGCTCTTTGTGGTGTGAAGCCATAAGTGCAGAAAGTCTCTGACCTGCACAGGGGTGATCCGGATTGAATGTTTGTGTCGCACCGATCCAGGGATTCTCTTTAAGACCAGAGTCACTCCATTGGGATTCTCCTGCAGCTTCTTAATAAGGTTTGCTCTGCTCCAACCCACCTGATGCAGCAGCACAGATTCTTTTAGTGTAATAGTCTTTTCTTTGTGCAGTGAAAAAAAGTGACCTATGGTATTGATCAGCACATTAAAACAGGGCAATACAACGTAATACCATCTGGTACAACACAATAAACACTAAATAAACTACAACTGGTCCTGAACTCAGCTGTTCATATCATTACACACATACCCTCAACCCATCAGACACAACTGTTCTCCAGCAGTATAAACTACATAATACTTATTCTTGCCTTCAAGGCTATCCATAACCTCGCTCCCCCGTCTTTTTCTGACTTCCTCCATGTAGCCACACCCACCTGCACCCTCAGATCCTCTTCTTTTTCGCCACTCTGCCCCCCTGCTCTAGAACTCACTCCCGTAACCCCAATTCTCTATCACTTTTTAAATCTAACATCAAAACTCACCTTTTTAAACTTTCCTGCTCGCTTTAATTATTTAACTTAACTGTTTCACCTTAATCATGTTTGTATTTGTTCTACTGTATTAACTATGTGCCTCTCTTGTATTTTAGTATGTTTGGAAAGTCAGATGACCTTGATTGTTCAGAAAAGTGTCTATAAATAAAATGCTTTATTATTATTATTATTATACATGGGCTGCAACACTTACCACTATCTGCTCATTGACTTGGATCACTTCATCACCAGACAGGACTCGTAAATAGGCATCAGTGGAGGGCTGAAAAAGAAGGAACTTAAAGTATTAGGAAGGAGCTGATGAAACACAAAATCAACAAAAAGTGACACCAAAAAACTGGAGCATTAGTACAAATAATTGCGTGAAAATATGAATATTCTCAGCTTATCGAGTTACAGTTTGTTACATCCAGAACTGGAATTAAGTTACGTAATTTACAAATGCACAGTAGCAGCAAGTGCTTGCAGCATGTAGAGTTTAGTGGAGACAGATGAGCCTGGCTAAAAATAATGTGTCATGCATAAACATTTCCTAGCTGCCTCCCTGCCTTTAACTGTGCAGAGCCGAGAAAACTGTGCAGTCACCTTGCTGCTACCTTAAACAGCAAAGAACAAAAGAAGTTTGTTTTTTTTTAGCATTCTCAATGCCACAGAATACAAACTGTTGTCGTGTTTCACTCCTCATAATGAAAATGACAAAGAAGAGTTTGGCACAATACCACAGACAAATCAAATACCGGCAGAAAGAACAAAAATGTTCTTTTTCAGCAAAAAGCGGGTGACACATTACAGTGGAGACATTTCAGATTTGCTATTTAAAATATTCTGTTTATATGTCAGTGCCTTTTTAACAACGCAATAGCCTTTTAACGATCAACCTCACTGGACACACAGATTTAGCCACAGTTGACCCCAATGGAGCCGAGTTCAGGAGGTGCAGTGAGTCACACAGTGAAATGGCACAGATGGCTAAATGTTTACCAGTCAATTCCACAGTTAAATGGGAAGAAAAGCAAAACTGTGAACCTGACCTCTGCAGCCGTTCCAGTCACGTAGTGGTTGCTGGAGCTGGTGGATGTTATCTCAATCCCCTGAGAGAAATGGAAACAAAAAATACTTTGCATATTTCAGAAAGATAAAATAATCATACTCTGTGAATGCCGCTTAGCATACTGTTATTTTCCACATCATAAACAAAAAAAAACCTCAACATGATAATGTTACAATCATAGTTGGACTGAATAAGGGATATCAGTGTCTGTTTGTCTGATTACAATCAAATCAAACAATAAATACATACCTAGTGACTACAGAAATATCAACATAGTAAAAAAATGCTAATTCTGCAGCTATGACGTTCTGACACAGGCTTACATGTGCAGAAATTATCAATTTTTTTTTTTTTGTGATGGGTTAATAGAACCTGATAAGAGAAAATTGGACTTTCTTTATACAAATAAATAACACAAACTAGTAAAGTTAAGTCCCATTTACTCAAATACCCCCAAATAAAATACAAGAGAACCTATTCAAGCCAACCAGTTAAGAGTCCGTTGGATTTTTTTTTTTGTCAACAAAAATCCAGCTTATCTGTGAATGCCTCAGAGGTCAATTGTTAGCGAACAGACAGCTTCATAAAAACTAAAGGACACAGCAGGTAGGAAAGAAAGTAAACTCTGGAGAAGTTAAAAACAAGGTAAGGTTATAAGCCCAAAGATCTCTGAGCCGCTTAATTCAGCACAACTACAAGCATACCAACAACACCAATGAGAGAGGCCGGGAAAACAGAGCATTATTCAGAAAAGCAGCCAAGAGGCTTAAGGTAAGTCTGAAGGAGCTGCAGATTCAGAGCCAAAGTAGAAAAACACAACTAGTAACTGCGTAGTCCCGAAATCTTTTTTTTTATTTTTATATATATATAGGGCTTAATTTAATAATTTAATTTAAAAATTAAATATTAGAAGGAGGAAACCATCATACCAAGAATTAGAGGTCTAGTTTTCTGTTTCTTTTTTGTTACTTAAATGTCCTTTGGGATTAATAAAGTATTATTGAATTCATTTGAATTGAATGTGGCAGGAAATTAATTCTGTACATCAGGCTAGACACAACATGGTCTGAATTGGCGATGGCAGCATCATGGTATGGGGATGCTTTGGAGGAGCAGGGGAGAAAAAATAAATAAAACTTCTAAGTGGTTGCAAAAGATCTGAGATATGGCCAGAGGTGCACCTTCCAACAGGACAGTGATCCTAAACATATAACCAATGGATACCAGTGGTTTACATCAGTGTAAGAATGACTATGTCAGTGTATGTATGTCAGTACAAATCAATATTTATAGAAATACTGAAATACCCCGAATAATTTCCTTTGACCTATGAGCAATGCGTTGCTTGTATTTGATGTATCACATAAAATTCCAAGTATCTAAAGTCAGATTTGTGGTGGTGACATCATGACAAAACGCACAAAATAAACATTTAACAGCTTGGGGTGTTTTTAGTCAATAATTCTAACACTTTCTCAAGTATTTTCTTAATCCAGTAGCTTTAAATGTAAAACATATCAATCAAAGAAGATTAAAAAGATCATAGATTACATTAATACCTAAATAAGCCTCCTAGGCAGAAGGATTTAGATGTGCTTTAAGCGATAATCAAATATATATTCTGACTAGGGTTTTCAAAAATATAGTTACTCAGAAAAGTATTGATACTCAAATGCTGTACCCACGTACACTACTAATCAGGCATGGTATCAACACTACAGACAAGTGTTGTTTACATATTTTTGCTACTCCTAATTTGATATTTCTAGCTTATTTGCACATTAAATCAATTATATTGAAATATAGTGAAACATTGTTATAATAAGGCTATTAGATATGCATTTATTTAAACAATTAAATATTATCTATGGGTCTGTTTAACAATTATGTTTCATGTTTATGAAACATTTTCTATGCTTTTAATTATTTGTCTTTTTTTTATCCTCGCATTATGGAACATTACAACAGGTATCGAATATTTCCCTGGGTAGCAATGCAGAGTTTGATATTTTGGTGTCATTGAAACCCTAACACTTACCAAATACAATTTATGCAAGTTAATTTGAGCACTAGACAATAAAACTATATTCATGATCAATACAGAATCATAAAAACGCAACAATGAAGGAAGGAAAACAAGGTTGTTCATTCATTTTATTTTATTTTTTAGCCGCACTAGAACAGATAGGGGATTTGTCTGTTTAACACATTAGTCAGCTAATAAAATGTCATTAATTCATAAAGTTCTGCCAATCTTAAAGGAATTTATAAAAAGAAAAAAAGACTGAAAAAAGATCTTAGTAGCTTTAGAAAGTTTTCATTTTTTTTTTTTTAACCATACACTAGGTCTTCAACAGGGGGTCCGTAACCCCTAGGGGGGGTCCAGGGAGGTACTGCATGGGGTTGCTAAAGTTTTGGTTGATTAGACTTTCTTTTTTATATTTTGAAATGTCATTAAATACACGAAAACATGAATTCAACACACTGTAGTAACCAGATAAATGGAGGCAGAAGATGTCTTTCAGTCATCAATTCTGATGTCAGTCTGAAATACTTTAATAATCCCAGGGCGAAGTACTTTCATTACATTACTCCATCTGTAATAGAGTGACCATAGGATCAGTTATACGTATATAACACAATTGCATACAATATATATAATTAGGGGGTCCCCACTCCATCTCGTCATCAGTTTGGGGGTCCTTGGCGTGGAAAACATTGAAGACCCCTGCACTAGGCTATTAATTTAAATGCTTATTGAGCTACTTATTTTATACTTTTATTTATTCTACTTATTTTTACGTTATTTACCAAAGAAATAAAACATTGTGATTATATTCTTGTTCATATCACTCAGTTAGTTAATAAATAAATTATGTTAAATATTTCCAAGATATAGCCTCTGCAAGTCTAAATAAGTTAGTCATCCTCATGACTTAAATTCCAGAAAGTAAAGCATTAACAGAGTCTAAACATCAATCTATTGTTATTTCTCTATTTCTTTTTCTAAATTTCTGAATATATTTACACACAATTAGCAAAACTCTGGGTAAAAACACAAGTTTTTGATTTTCATATTCATATATTAGGTGGTGACGCGTCACATTCTGTAAACCCCCTTTATCAGAACCATAATGCCTTCTGCTTCTCACTTCCTTCTCTGCCTTTAGTTCCTATTACTCTTAATGTGTCAGAGGACTGACTTCATTATTGGTGATATGCTTTAATCAATTACCTGCTGTCAGCTGTAATTAACAAACTCTGTCCTCTCCACCTAAGTACATTTGAAAAAGTCCTTTTTTACAGAGGACAGCCAAAACACATCAATGCAATGATGTTAACAACATGCAGGTGCAACTTCAAGACCAGTAAAGCAAAATTAAAAAAATTAAAAAGAAAAAACATAATGTGCTCAAAAGGAAATAATTTAGCCACCATCTAATAAAAGATTTATTTACTTAATGGCTTGAGTTCACAGAGTGCAAATAAATATGAAAAATATATACTAAAAGCACAGTGATTAGTGTGATAGCAGTCACAAAAGATGGCAGTGAGTACAGAACCAAATGTGCAGACTTCACAACAGAAAAGGACAAGCAGCACAAAAAGAACATTGTGCCTTAGTGACCAAACATCAGGGAATGTTTCAGAGTACTGACAGAGGGTACAGGGAGAACCAGGAGATGGTAGAGATATCATTTGACAGGATCTAATGATGAAACCTTCAAGCAGTGATAAAGATAGAAAATAACCAGAAATGTCAGTGTCAAGAAAAATTCCAGACCTCTTACCATCTTTAATAAAATGATAAAAGCAGGAAAAAATTAATAAGAAAAAGATTATTTTTGACGAAGCTGAAATCTTTTTGTAGTGATTACTGTGTGTAGGCTTGATGTTTGGATATATACATCTAATAAGGAAATACTGCAGTTTTAAAATGGATGATAAGCACTTATTTTCCAACATCATTAATAAACATAATTCATTTCAGGACACAAAAAATGTCTCTAATTAATTACAGACTTCGCTTTTAATTAATCCCAAAAACAATTTTTGACACTGTGAGCGATGTTTTTATTTTCCTATTTGGATTAATAGCCATTTCAATATATAGACACATAAAATGTGTTTTATGATGATATTAAGCAATTTCTACATCAATTTAGCTTTATTCAGAACACCACGGTTCATCCAATCATACAGATCCAGATGCAGATGTAATAATAATCCCAATTACTGCATGTTAATGAAATGTAATTTTTGGAATCCTCTACATTAATTCACTTTTTTTTCTAATTTCAGGCCTCAAATCTCATAGAAGCATAATTAATCAGAAGATAATAAGTAAAACAAAAAATAAAAATACATTCCCGGATTGAAACATGTCTGCATAGAAATACTGAACAATGTGCATCTTGTTTATTTGACATCTAAATATTAGCTTTAGCTTTAGAATGTTGAGGCTCTGTAGTGATCTTGCACGACTTACTTTACTCCCATCCTTTGATGCTGTTTCATCGCATTAACCTCACATTAAATGTACGTTCTCCCGACCCAAACAAATGATGGAGGGGAGCGCTACATAGCTTCAGAGTATTACTGGCTCAGATTCATTTAAGTTCAGATAGCATGGAGATTAAGGATTTCATTCTACAATGAATTTTATTATTATTTTGATTTCATATATTCTCTCATTTATTATTCTAAATTGATGCATTTAAGTCCTATATTTAATATAAACTATACATAAAGACAGAATTTCTTTAAAGAAGTCTGATTAGGCCTGGTTTTGATTGAAATAGATTGGATTTATCACCACCAACATGACTTGACATTTATATTATTGATATATCTTATTATTAAGATATTAATGAAGGAGAAGATAAAAAAAAACAGCTAAATCATAGCTTTACCAACTGATCACCGGGTGAGGCAGGCACCAGGTCGACGCTCTCCAGCTGAGCCGTGTGGGTTAGAAGTGAGTCGGAGCTGGAGCTCAGGATCTCGTCACAAACCTCCACCAACTGACGGCACTGAAAAAGGAAAACACAGCTTTACCAAGTGGGAAGAGACAGACTCTCGCAGTTAAAAATATCTCAGAAAATCATGGAAAAAAAAACAAGCAAATGATAGACAAACTCACCACAGAGATAATGTCCTTCTCCTTCTCATAGACCGTGGTATCCTGTTGGATGAGTGAAACGACATGATTTGATAAACCAAACGAGTCACACAATGACACCCAATCAGCCTATATGCAAATGCATTGATTTGTGGAAATGGGACAAACTGAGACAAAACCCATGTCCCATTTCCTCTTCACAGCTTGAGTCAGAAAGCAAAAAAGCCACACGCTAGTCGAAAGCAATCTAATAAAGTCAATAGCAAAGATTCATATATCTGTTAGTGATTGCAGCTCCAAAAGCATCTGTCTGCATTTAATGACCATAAACACCAACACCTTTTAATGTTTTTTTTATTACACAGACCAACACAGAGGACTGTAGATTGTGTAGGGTAACAAAGGGAAAGATTTTTATTTCTTACAATTAAATTAATCATTAGACCTTTGTACAATCAATCTTTAGAATATGGATAGAGTTAGGCATAACTTCAGACTTGCAGAGACAATAAATCCACCTGGATAAGGAGAGAATGAATGAGAAAAGCAGCCATATTGCCCAAGGTATCTGTAGGAGCTTCAGTCTGCAGCACACAAAGGAGAATCTCTGTACAGGGAAACCTTTAGCCATGAACTCCCTAAACCTGGCCTTTATGGAAGAATAGCCATTTTTCACTAAAAGAAAGCCATCAAAAGCATGAAACAAGCCATTTAGAAAACTCAGAGAACATGTGAAAGAGATCATCTGGTCTTTTAATTGTTTTTGACCTGCATGCAAGAACCTAATGTTCTTGGGAAGAAAAGCTAATTTCCGCATCATCCTGAAATCACTTTCCTAACCATGAAACCCTGGCGTGGCAGAATAAGACTGTGGGGAGGTTTTCTTCAGCAGGATCGGAGAAAGTGCTGAGAGCTAATGGGAAGACAGACGGAGCCAAATATATGGCAATCACAAGAAAAGGCTGAATACGACCGAAGGCTGTGGTGAACAAACACAACAACAACCTGAAACATCCAGCCAGAGCTGTGATGTTTCATTCAAAGCACATTCAAATGTTAGAACGGTCCAGTTAAAATCCAAACATAGAATTGGTCAAATTACTCACAGCTGTGGTGAACAGGTGCTCTTAAAAGGCTGATTAAGGGAAAGCTAAAGACAAACGAACCAGATTTTTTTATGCACAATGTCGTTTTAAATATTCTATAATTCAGTTTCCACTCCACAATTTTGAAAAAAAAAAAATCGTTATTTCTGATATAAAATCCAAATAAAAATTAAATTAGTGGTTGTCAAGTGATGAAACATGAAAAAAAGTTCAATAAGCTTAAACACTTTTGTAAGAACTGCATCCTTCGTGATGAACTCTTGCCGTTTATAATACATTTGGTCTGTTTAGGATTGATCAGACAGATAAGGACGCTGCAGAATAAATCAGCTCAGTCATAACCTGAGAATTATTTATACTGAGGGATGGAAAATCCAAAAAAGGTTGCTTTAATCAACATTTTATAAACCAGCAGACATATTCAATAGAATCAGCAGGACAGCAAGAATGGAACAATGATAACAAAATCCATATATCCTCATTTCATTTATTTAGATTGGTGAACAGCATTTTATTCCCAAGGCGCCTGTGTTGAATGACACAGTTATTAAAGCTATTAGAGAAGAACTAAATTGCTTTCATGTCTGCTTTCTGGGATGTGAGTGAAATAATAGTCCTAAAGGGGCAGTAATGGGTCCAGACTGGGAGGAGAAGAGATGAAAAACAAGCTTCATATAAAAGAGAATGATAAGAAATTCAAAGAGAATAGGAGCCATGTTTACACAGCATAGGAGACCAAAAATCATTAATGCCCAGAGGTAATTCAAAAGGCCGGGTGACGAGCTGCACAGAGCTTTGCATATGGGAAAGCTAACCCCTATAAAATGATGAACACAAACCGACTGGGTTAATTTAGAGGCTATATGACACCAGACTCAAGGGAGAAATAGGATTACCAGCTCCATATTCATTAGAGTATCGGTACCTAATAGAACATGTGATAATGACTGACGGTTTAAAAATAATATGGCGGATGAATATAGTTGTTTAGACTTTAGACTGTTTAAGCAAAGCAACCTCCTCATGTCATTGAAGCTAATTGTTTAGGTTTTCTTAGGCCAGCTGGGTAAGTAATCAGATTTATTTCACAACTTAAGGATCCCTAAAATTATTAATAAGTAACCAGGTTTAAAAAGGTACAACAGTGGAGATTATGAACACAAATAGGCTTCATTCACTAGTTTTTTAAGAAATAGAAGAGGAGATGCTTTTCTATTATTTTCAAAACTTTTCCTTATAAAATTGAAATTTTGCCAACTGTATTCACTTTACTCTAAGCTTGATCTATTTATATAAAGTATTGAATCTTAATTATTGCTTCAGTCTTTTACATAATAAAACACTACATGAAACCTCAAACAATATGACAAAATTGGATTGGAGAATTTAAATCCGTCCTTTATTTCTTATATTATCCTAAGTCAATATGTTTCGACTGTCTGAGCAACCAGACAGTGGTAATAAAATGTTTGCATATGATGTCATCAAAAAGGGCGAGGCCATATTTGACATAACACTGTCTTCTTTTAAATAACTTGTTAAGACTCACTTTTTTTCCTGGATTTTAACACACCTTCAGGTGTTTCTTTTATCCCATGAGTCGTTTTTTTTTATTTTAATTTCTTAATGTCTTATTTTATAACCATTCTTTTTTTCTTATTGATATGTACAGCACTTCAATTAACAAGTTTTTTTTTCTTTATAAATGAATTGGATTGGATTGAATTGAATAAACAAACAAGCCAGTTGAGTTGCTGCAGCCTCTAATCCTAAGTGCAATAAGTGAAACAAAACTACAATAAAGATTGCTTGTTTTCAACAGATGGTCTAAAAGATGAAGAAGAAAAATGCCAGGCGTTGTGAAGAGAAGAACATCTTTGAAAACTAAGCTACACCTAAACTGCTATAGGAACATTTTAGAAAATATTTGTATTTCTGATGTTCAATAAGATCATTTTGCTGTTTGAACTATTTTAAAAAGGAATATTTCACATGTATAAGATTCAAGATGACCGTTGTTTGCTTTTTCCTATTAGCACCAAGCTCTTGTTAGCACTCAAGCATTTGTGAATGATTTTAATCTCTACCAGGTACAACGAAAAGTAGATATTTTAAATAGCTTTGCGAAGCATCACCCTGTTAAAAGTACAGTGAGCTTAATTACTGGTGTTGAATCACATTCATTATAAAAGCATGCAGTAGAGTGAACTCTGGTGCGCATGAAAGATTCTCTGCTCTTTTTTTTTTTTACCTCATTAATGTTGCTTGAATTTTGATCAGTTCATATTCACAAGGTTCAGCTTGGAATTTCCTTAAACTTTGACTCAATTGGGAACATCTCAGTTATTAAATCAAGTTGTCGATGACCAAAACTTAAAAGGTTAGACTAGGAGTGGAAAAACTTCATATTAGACCAATTCAGATTGGATGGGCCTAGATTAAATTCTAAGATTATGTTAACCTTGATAAAAAAAAAAGGGGGGGAAAAATTGTGAGGGACTTTATTTTACAGTTATTCCATATATGTGTAATTTCACCAGATTTAGGTTTAAAATAATCTGAAATATTAGCAAAAGTCTTGCTGCCTCTGATTTAATCCTGTTTTGGGCCTGTTTTGTTGTTGCCATGAACCAGATTACACAGAATTCGCCCAGACATGTTTAAAGTAATCTTTTCATTTTACCAACATAATTCTTCTGGCTGGAGGTAACTTTAACCTTTTGGAACAACTCAGCATGATTCCTGACTTGACACTAATAAAGAATCAATGGGGGAAAGATCAGGAGAGCAGCAGGGAGCCTTTGCCCGAAGATGAATCATCAAAGCACTATTACAAACATTAAAAAAAGCTGATGGGCACAAACAACACAATTTGATTGAGGTAATGCTAATAGATCTTTTCCCCCTTTACTAAGAAAGGAACAAATCCCTTATGCATATCTTAACTTTTAATAAAATAATAAAAAAAACCTGATATTTTTGCTCACTGTTTCATTATCTATTGAGAGATGTAAGTGTAATTCCAAGGTAAATGAAAATTATTTCATTTTAATATTGTTAGGATAAGGTCTGTCTCATGAGCTTCACTGTCGCATTTCATCTAAGGAGCTTTTATGCTGTTATCAAAATAATGTTGTATTAGGCCATTAAGGTGGCTTTTAATTAGGTTAACAGCTCATAAATGGTCATAGGGAGGTTGGGGAGGAGTCATAAAGAGCTTGGCTGTCAAGCTGAAAGGCTGATGGTCGGTCTATTTTTTTTCTACCACTAAACATCCCATTGTTGCTGCGCTGTTTTGTGTTTTTAGGTGAACATCACTGGGTCAATTTCATATTTTACTTAGAAAAGGGAGAACTCTTACTAACATAAAGGTGTAAAGAACAGAAAAGTAATCATGTTATAATATTAATATTGTTTTTTTAGTTACAATACCATTATTTATTATAATATTTGGTCATATTAGTTTGACTTTCAAATCTAAACTTAATATAAAATATACAAACTCTATACTAGTAGTAGTAGTTTTTAGTTCCTGCAAAATGTCATTCCTTTATGACCTTGTTTTCATGTTTCCATGTTAGTGTAGCACAGATATACTAAGCAAATGTTAGCTGTAATTAGTGTTGCACCGATACCAATACTAGTATCAGGCAGGGTCCCGATCCAGCACTAAAATGGTGGTATAAGTATCGGCGAGTACCAACAAATAGGGCAACGATACCGTTTACCCAACTATTGTCACCCATTTCAGGTAGACAATAAAAAGTTCTACTGGATTCACTTTGTATTAGTCTTTTTCCTGCTCCACAAAGGTAGGCAGCAGCTTGACGAAGCCATGATGGCAATTATTTTACATCCAAGTAGTATGCAGTTCTTCATATATACACACAAACATCAATTTCAAACAGATGGTATCTGTATTGGCCAATATTGCACAGCCAGGTATCGGGTATCGGT